TTTGAAATCTTTATTGACCTCAATGTATCGCTATTATAGCACTGGAGAAGGTCAACACCGAGGAAATGGAGGAGCTGCAGGAGCAGATAGTCAAGCTCAAGAGTCTCCTGTCCGTCAAGCGCGAACAGATCGGAACCCTGCGCAACGTGCTCAAGTCAAACAAGCAAACCGCCGAGGTGGCCCTCACCAATCTCAAGTCCAAATACGAGAACGAGAAGATCATTGTCAGCGACACCATGTCCAAGCTGCGTAATGAGCTCAGGCTTCTTAAAGAGGATGCAGCCACCTTCTCAAGTAAGTAACTGAAGGGCATTTGTTTGGTTTGGCTTAACAGCTGGCCTTCATCTTCAAATATATATATTTACACAAATTTCGTGTTCTTAGGCCTGCGCGCCATGTTTGCCGCTCGCTGCGAGGAGTATGTGACCCAGGTGGATGATCTCAACCGCCAATTAGAGGCTGCAGAAGAGGAGAAGAAGACTCTAAACCAGTTGCTGCGCTTGGCTGTCCAGCAGAAGCTGGCACTCACACAGCGCCTTGAGGAGATGGAAATGGACCGGTGGGTGCATTTGGGTCGTTAAAAGTCAGCTGCGTCACCACCCCAATTTCAAGCAAACACTCATTCATCCCTCTATCAATTAGGGCTCCACATTTTCCTTTATTTTCCCAAAAATCCCCTTGAGAATACAGCAATTGGTAAGCCCCTGCAAGTGGCAGAAAATTTGTTGCATGCTTGCCCGCCTGCTAACTTGCTGCTGGAATCCGCCTAACCTCATGATAACTGCTGTGCGCTGATCAATAGTTTAATGTGTATGAGCTCTGTAGATCAATCGTCAACTAACAAATATTCCGTTTCCCCTTCCCAACAGCGAAATGCGTCACGTCCGCCGCCCGATGCCCGCCCAGCGTGGCACCAGCGGCAAGTCCTCCTTCAGCACACGACCTTCGAGCAGGAATCCAGCAAGCAGCAACGCCAACCCATTCTAACATAAGATCAGCGTGCAGCGTAAACTTCTGGCTTTGGTTTATACTTTGCTTAAGTTGTAAATTCGTTGGAGTTCCTGCGGAAAGAGAAAAAGATTTCCACAATCACAAGATATATTGCAAACGTGTGCGAGAACAAAGCTATATCCATGCTCTATCCAACTACTATAACTATGTTTGTTTGTATTGTATTTGTATTTATTGAAAGTTTAGTTAGATGAAAGTTTTGTGTTAGACAAGGAAACAGTAAACGGTTATTAACGGTTAGTTACTTAAACGTCCATTTAATTTAATTAAAACAAAACATTAAGAAAAAGATTAAATGATAACGTAACGAAACGTATTTTTCTATATACAAATGATGTACTTGTCTTTAAATACGTCTAAATTTTGTTCGATCTGAGTTTTGTTAACTTTCGCGTTAATTATTTGATTTTTGTTAACAACGCTGTGCGCAAGCGAAAAAATTGACAAACTAAAATGATAAATATGTTGATGTTGAACAAAAGATATTGATATTCTCAACTGTACCATGTATTAATTGGTCTGTCTGATAACCGAGAGTATTTTTCCATGGCCCAGTTCAAACTGTGTGGCCCCTAAATGTACGTAAAGAACAAAAGGTCAGATTTCCAGTCGAAATGTATATTACAAATGGTTTGCAGCCATTGAACCTAGAGTAGCAGCAGGCTACGTCTCAAAGACAATTCTGAATGATGATGATTTTGTATTTATTGAGCAGCATTTGATCGCTCTAAAATGAAGAAATTGTAGGAAATTAATTATAATTTGCAATGCAGAAAAAAACGAAGTTTTTTTGATTTATTTAGCATTAATTGCAGACATAACTTATGAATTGTGCATTATTATTTAATACAATTAATAAATTGCAACACAAAAATATTAAGCCAGTAAATATATTTATTTGTTTGTATTTCTTATGATTTAACTGGGAGTCCCATGATTTTCCATGAAAATAGATTTTAAGTTAAAGTTAGTACGAGAACATCCCTTGAGAAGTGGCTGCAAAAATTTTTTGAACCATTCTTACTTAATCAGCAACCCAAAAAAAATATGGTTTGCTTAGGTCAAACAGCCTTGAATCGATGTATTGTTCAAATAAGAAATAAATAACTATGGTAATTGCAAGCAGCTTAACCAACATACAAATAGCCAGACAAAGCGTTAAAGTTTAAATAGATATTATTATCGTAGCTAATTGAACACAAAAGTAGTGACAAGAGCCTGAGCACATTTTGTAGTAGTGTTTAATTTACTCCATCCCCGCTGAACCCCGAAAAAAATACAGAAACTCCAAAGCTGATTGCTTCTTTTAGGGTTCATGATGTTTTCGTTGTCAATCGGAAGAGATCGATATTCTACATGAAATTTATATATACAAGATCGTATATTGTGTAAATTACCGAGCCATTAAATTGAATTTATATTAAATAAACACAGTTATACACACAGAGACACACATGCTGATACACACAACGTCCATTAATGCATTCACATATGAACTCTGAGGAGTTGCCTATAGAAATTATGCAATATGCCAGAACAGCAAGGAGAAGCACTTTAATTATTTGTAAATATATTTATAGACACATTGAAGTTAGTAGATGTATCGAATGAGAAACAAGCGAACAAACAAATTGCATACATATTTCAAAATGATTTTATTGTAATTTTTACCGTCCCTTTTTGCGAACGAACAAAAATACAAAGTCTATTTACGCAACTCACTGAACCAATAACGAACGAATGAAACAATTCACTTTAAGTTTCGTGTCCAAGCAAAAGTACGAGATCACATTCAACTCATACATCGATCCAACAAGCCAAAATATTGATAGCCAATATGCATACTACATAAATCATTAAATTAACTCGAGACTAGAGTTCTTCAATTAGAAATTATTGATAACCAAACAGAATAATGTGGAAGCAAAGCGAAAAGCAAATAGTTTTCTATTTCCCGAAAGAATGTAAGAGTAAAGCAATTGAATTTAAGATTTGAAAGATATTTAGTGTAAGTTTTATGATAAATTGCCGGCAAACTGCAATAACTTTGCAGGTAACTGTGGACATATGAGAAATGCAACCGAGTGTGCAAGGGATAACCCTAAAAAAAAATAAATTATACAAAATACTTATTGCAAAATATGTGAAAATAAACAAAATAGCAAATATGGATGCCGTTGAATTCTACTGTTTAGGGGGTTACGTAGCTAATATTATTTATTTATTTTATTTTGCCTTTATTCCTATAAATTAATTTGAATTGAATACAGAGTTTTGTATCCGGGAGCTTTGGTTGGAAAAAAAATTTGGCACGAGTACTTAGTAATAAACGAATGTCAGTGAAATCGACGCGAGTTCGACTCCAGCATCGAATAAATAAAAAACTACATAATTTTTTAATTTGTGTACTATTTTTATATTTATACAGCATCTTTCTTATGTCAAAACAATGCCAAGTGGAATTTTCAAGCAATCTGCTGATTTTTTCTGTCGGGAATCTTAATCTTTTGCCAAGGTAAATCGAAAAAATTAACAACAAAATGTACCCATAAGGCAAACTTATAGACGATTTTCCCACGAATGTCATTAATCATTTTTGTCACATTTTTTTGCAAAATTAAGCATAGATAAACCTATAAATTATTAAAATATATTTTTATTTAACTCGAATTCTTATCTATTCGAACTTTTATGTTGGCAGATGAAGGTTCGGGCTATGGAAGTTTGACTGTATTCCGCCTTTGTCATTTCGTACAGAGCAGCTTTCGTAAGTTAGCAAACCTCGTCATTTTTGGATGGAGTGTTATTTAAATCGAGTTCAATTCCCACTAAGGTCGAATTAAAACTAAACTTTTTTATTTGAAATTTTTCTTTTTTGTTTAAATTTAAGCAACATTTTACTCAGTTCTGCATTTTTATTTATTCTTGTTTAGGTTTTCACACATTTTTACAGTCGTTTGAGTACAGCCATTGGATTGCACAAGCAAACGCCAATCCACCCCCTTTATTCATTTTACCTGTTGCCAACAGGCTGTTGGACTGGTTGGCTGCTTATGATTCCCAAGTGCGAGTTCTCAGCATAGTAGATATAAATACGCCCGACCGCTAACCGTACGTTGGAAGTGTATTCTGTGATTGTTCTGTGCATCGATCGATATGTGGGTAAAATCTGTATATCAGATCTGCTCAGTGCCGACCCTCCGTCACACCTTTGTTTCCCCAGTAATTCTGCCTGGCATTGCTGTGGCTATCTGCTTCGGATTGGCTTTCCGTTGCCTTTCGCCGGATGACGACGGGTTGTCCGGCGAATTGACGCACGGTTGTGCGCCAGTCATCCGTCGCCCCCTCCGCCCCGACGGATTCCGGCCTCCACGGCTGGAACACGTATTGGGCGGGGACGGGCGGCGGGGCCGGCGTTGAAGCCGACGACAGTTGCCCGAGTCAGCCACTTTCAAAATTTCTTGGTTAAGTAACTTTGTAGCTTAGCTTCGGATTTTCGTAATATATTTGCTGTTCAGAACACTTCCATGAACGAGGCATTGCCGAGCAATTTGCCCATTCTTTTGCTGGATTATTTTTATTCTTTCAGAATCTAATGTCAAAATTATTAGCACATTAGCACATTTTTTCAATCAGTTAAAAATGCGATGCAATGAAGGAGGCGTTTCTTACCTTATAAGGTAAATATATTTTTGATATGTATCACCAAGAGACTCGATCTAGCCATGTCCGTCTTATTATCTGTATGTACGCAAGCTAGTCTTAGTAGCAAGTCCCAAAAAGTCTTATTTTTGAACATGCTGTATATACATAAGTCGGAATGGGATGCTCCCATCAAAACAATACGAGAAAAGAAAAAACAAAAAAATTATAATTTTCAAGATATAGTGATTTCCTACAATTTAAAAATTACAGTATTTTATATTGATCGAAAAATGTATCGGAAAGTCGCTATAGCTTCATTGTTTTTAAATACACACGCATAAAAATCCGTGTTAAAGAATTTTTTATTTTCGTAATAAAGACATATAAAGTTGTTTTTTTCCTGTTTACATATAATGCTATTTTGACAATGTCGTCTTCTAGCGTTTACCTATTTGTGGCGATGATGCGTCACTGGCATGCCGGGTAGGAGATACAAACAGAATAAGTACATTACGTTAGAGGAATACCGGCGAAAATTGAGCCAAATTTGGCTTCCTTGGAAAGGTGCAAACACCTTGTTTTGCAGTTGGCTAAAATTAAGGCGGCTGTTGGAATCTCCGAAGATACTGAAGAAGCTGGTGCGAGATTGGTTGATCTCCTGTCGCAGTTCCGTGATTTGATCCGTCATGTCTTGTGCACTCTTACGCAGTTGTTCAAGCTCTCCAGTTTGCCTAAGGATGAAGTAGATATTAATAGATTAGGGGTTGCAATCGGGCATCGCTTATATTAGGATATTTTTTTAAATTACTCTAATGACGGTGTAGCTTAACAGTTGTTCCATTTAATTATTGTTTATTCTGATACGACAAGCTTAATTGTATTTAGAATAGAAATATTTTTCACTTTATTTTAATTGCAACGCATGTTTATAATTACCAAAATAATAAAATCATTTTTTTTTATGTTTATATAGGTATAAATAAATTCTGGGAAATTTTTAATTATACCATTTTTGTTTGTGTTTTCTTATCTTGAAAAGGTCAACAAATGAGTCTGTTATTCCAGCTAAATTGGTTGATTGATCTTGAATACAATATAATATAAACATACAAAATGATATATTAAAACAGTTTTCAAACGAATTTGGACCGTCCCTATGTACATATATGTATTTACGGACATACTCTTATGTTCAAAATAATAGGTACGTTATATTCAACATTCGAGAATTTCAAACTGAAACATTAACATTCCATATTTTCATTAAAAAAAAACGTGATTATGATAATGATATCAAAGAATAGTGTTTGAACAATATCTGGCCGCTTACGTACTATTGTATATTTTTAATCAATTATTATGCAGAAATGTGGACTTTATTCTCAATAATGCTTTTGTCAAGTTTTAGCCACTCATTGGCAAACAAAAAATTAACTTTTTCAACCACTTAATGTTTGAAAACGAATTTTAAATACGTGTACCTATAATTATGAGTGTACATATAAAGCTTGATAAGCATCTGCTATGGCAACAATAAAGTTTATAAAAGATGAGAGTACAATCCGGATCCCAGTTGTCAGTCTCAAGATTTAGACATGGGACGATTCTGGATAATAGCAGGTCTTCTTGTAGGCTGCTTCCTTTTGAACGACGCCTGTGAAAACTGCGTTCCCAGGGAACATTGTTTGCTGGAGAATACTGTAGCGGTACATTATCCTGATACGGCATGCCCTGGCTACCAAGTCTGTTGTAAAGTTCCACCATATGTAAGTTTAAAAATATATTTTTTACGCTTATGTATAGATGATCACATTTTAATATTTGCAGAATACTTATGAGACTCCAACAAGAATTAATAATGCAATCAATTGTGAGTCGGAGGTAAGTCATTTAAAATAATTTTTGTGCGAAAAATGTATAGTTAACTAATTTTTCGCAGATATCCGGAACGGCTAACGTACCTATCAGTTATTGGCCAATTGAGAAGCATACTGATCCTACTGATCCATCTGTTCCTTTTTTTGTACAAAATCCCGGCATCAGCAATCCAGAAGGATTAGACCCCAGTCAGAAAGTAGACTACGGATTCTCAAAGCCATTTGAGTATCCGTGGGTAGTAGCTGTTTTCGTTGGTTATAACAACATTCAGGGCGGATCTTTGATTAGCCCAGAAGTTGTCCTCACTTCATTCAGCCCTCTTCGGGGTATGCACGCCAATACGATTGTGGTCAGGGCTGGCGAATGGGACATAAGTTCTACTAGAGAGGCCCATGGGTTTGAGGAGCGCGAAGTGGAGAAAATCGTACATCATGAAGAATTCGACTTTCAAACCGGTGCCAACAACATAGCGCTTCTCTTCCTAAAGACGCCCTACGTGTTAAAGCCCCACATCCGAATTATCGGATTCCCTGACCGACAAAGAACCTATGATGGACTTCGCTGCACAGTTGCCAGTTGGGGAAAAACAAGGTACACAGATTCACACTATTCGACCATACTGAAGAAAGTGAATTTACCCATGATGAGCAGAGACATGTGTCAGTTTCGGTTGAGGAGTACCATCTTGGGCCATAACTTTGAGCTGCCCCAGAGACTCATTTGCGCCGGAGGTGAGGCCAACATTGATGTCTGCACCGGAGATGGCGGATCTCCCCTGTTCTGCCCCATCGGAGACGACGATTCAGGTGCCTACGAGCAGGTGGGCATCGTAAATTGGGGACTCGAATGTGGGCAGAAGGGCATTCCGGGAACCTACACAGATGTATCTATGTTCAAGGATTGGATTGAGGAAAATATGCTCATTTTTCAATATAGGTAAAGAGATTAGGTACTTTCGTAATGAACAAAATGCGCCAATAAAAGTGTAATGCAGTAACGTGTTTTTGGTTAAATTTATTTTTCATCAATGAAAATCTGTAAAAATAACATTTATCTATGTTATTGTCTAATCGTATGTACCCGGTGCTTATTTCATACAACTTTGTTTGCTGTTTGTACATACCGGCAAATGTACACAAATGGGGCTCTGTAAGAAGTGGATTAGGGATTAGCTGCGCCAAGTAAAATATTGCTAAGGTGTTTGGACATAAATTTATGTTGCCCCAATGGAAAATTAGCGGTCGAATCTCAGATGCATGATTTTAAAATAACCTTTTTATAAACCAATTAATTAATTATGCAAGGATTTTTTTCAAATAAGGACAGAGAGCCAGGAAGCTAGCATGGATATTGATTTATGTTGATTTATAGTCTACGCAGATTTTATATTAAACAAAAAAAAGAAGGTTTTTCGGACCAGAGATAAGCACAACAGATTCACTGAACTGATCTGGGTATATGTTACAAATGAATATAAATGAATATACATATATATGTTATTGACCCTATTCAATATACACATTTACTTATTGTTGATGGTGATGTCAACAGCTTTGCCAGAGAAACATAAATATATATATGTACATATGTGGAGACTGATACGCAGTTTTCGCGTTAGCTTTGGTTCTTTCCTCTATGTTGTAAATTATGAACATAACAGCGAAGCTCTGTAGATTTTCCGTACATGGAAAATCCTTTACGGTTGGAAATAACTCCATCACTGCGTTGCAAATTTCTGACTAAAATAAAAATACCCTTGTCAAGGGTACAATGAAAGAGAGTCAGACAGATAAGCAAGACAATTTTTAGAAGACTGTTGTTTTGCGGCATTTTGTTATCTTGTAAAATAAATTTATGCATTCGGACTAGGATATTCGGCCCTGCAGATGCATTAAACTGATTAAAGTCTAAAATTGCTTCACCGCTTTTGTCATAAAAGAATTTATGTGTATAATATTGTTACAAAATTGTATTTTTATTTTTGTTCATTAATAAATTTAATTTAATTTTTCCAATACAACTCTGTGCGCAGGTGTCATTTTAAGAATATAGACTAAGTATTAAAAATTGTAAAAAATATATACCCAAAAAGAGTTTTTATTTTTAAATTCATCAACAACATGTCCAGTAACATCTATTTGTCTTCAAAAAACGTTTTTTCAAACAGTTTTTAAGATTTTTTAAACAGACTTATCAGCGAAAGTAAATATGCGACTACCTCATTTCTAATAAAATTCTAGTTTTAAGAAGTGATTACAACCTAAATATTTCCAGTTTTTAGATCATTTACTTTAGAACGCTAACATCCAGCAATTTTTCAACACACCGAAATTTGTTATTTTATTTTTGGGGAAACACATTGAATATAAACATATACTTATTTTAAAAAGAAGAACAAAAATTGTGATGCTAACAGCTTTGTTGACCCAATAGAATTTGATAACGTGTACGCCTACAAATATATATACATATACCTATGTAATTTAGGACTGATAAGCCGTTTAAAAGACCGATGATTGTCTGGCTTTCACTCATTCAATCTCTTCTGGTAAACATGGGAGGTTACTGGGAAATCGGAGTTCTCCTTCTGGGCTGTGTCCTTATGGGCAATGCCTGTAAATATTCCTGTGTTTATAAGCAACAGTGCTCAGTAGAAGCCCCTAAATTCAACTACCGCCAAAGTGATTGCATTGCTCCCCAAATTTGCTGTGCAATTCAACTAGAGGTAAGTTTATAAAAGTTTTTGTGCTTGAGATTTATATTCTCACATTCCTGATTATTTGCAGAATGCTTTTAATCCGGTTCCAAAAGATCCCGGAGTCAGTGGTTATCCAGGATCACCCCAGACTGGTGTCCAACCTAGTGCTTCTGGTCAAAACCCGTGGCCAGTAAACCAGAGTGGTCAAGGTGCAGCAGCTCAACCAAGTGAATATGGAGATCCACCAAGAGGTTCAGCCGGAAACAATTTAAATCAAGAAAGAAGGGATTTCCAGGACGCAGCTCAACCAAGTGGATATGGAAACCAACCAGGAGGTTATCCAGGATCTACTCAGACTGGTGTCAGACCAAGTGCTCCTTCGAAAAACTCGTGGCAGGCAGGCAACGTTGGTCAAGGTTCAGCCGGAAACAATTTAAATCAAGAAAGAAGGGATTTCAAGACCGAAGGCGCAGTTAATTTAAATCAGGGTAGAAAGGACATACCAGTCTACAGTGGATATCCAGGACATGTGCAAACTGTTGTCAAACCTACTGCTCCAACTCAAAACCAGTATGCAGAAGGCAACGTTGGTCAAGGTGCAGCAGCTCCACCAAGTGGATATGGAGATCAACCAAGAGGTTCAGCCGGAAATAATTTAAATCAAGAAAGAAGGGATTTCCAGGACGCAGCTCAACCAAGTGGATATGGAGATCAACCTAGAGGATCTGGGCAGACTGGTGTCAGGCCTAATGCTCCTGCTCAGAACACATGGCCAGTAAGCCAGGGTGGTCAAGGTGCAGCAGCCCAACCAAGTGGATATGGTTCAGCCGGATATGGAGATCAAACTAGAGAACCTACTCAGACTGGTGTCAGACCTAGTCCTCCTTCTCAAACCCCGTGGCAGGGAGGCAACGGTGTCCTCGGTGCAGCAGCTCAACCAAAAGGACATGGAGATCAACCTAAAGGTCCTACACAAACTCAGCGGCCAGCAAATAAGCCAATAGGACATGGAAATCAACCAACTCCGGCGGCAGGAGCCAATGGTCATAATGGAGCAGGCCAGACTCAACACTGCGGTATAAGCAACGCAAACGGCTTGGGCAATTACAAATCAATCACTAAGGACCAAGCGAGACCTGCGGAGTTCCCATGGGTTGTGGCTCTGGTTAGCCATAGCATATACCTTGCGGGCGGCTCCCTCATTCGCCCATCGGTTGTCCTGACAGTTGCCCATGTACTGATAAATCAAACCGAGGACGATCTTGTGGTCAGGGCTGGCGAATGGAACACAGCCACCGAAGAAGAGAGCTTCCAATTTGAAGAACGCCTTGTGGGTAAAATAAAGCGCCACGAAGGATATGATTTTTATACCGGCTCCAACAACTTGGCACTCCTCCTGCTAAAATCTGCGTTCCCGATGAAGGACCACATCGGAACTATCTGTTTGCCTACACCAAGCCCGTTTGTTCCACGTCGCTGCATTGTTGCTGGTTGGGGTAAGTTGAACTACCAATCGGAGGACTATTCGACCATACTGAAGAAAGTGGAAGTGCCCTTGGTGGACAGAGCCAGATGTCAGCAACAGTTGAGGAGTACCAGCTTGGGCCATGACTTTGAGCTGCCCCAGAGTCTCATTTGCGCCGGAGGTGAGCTCAACAATGATGCCTGCACAGGAGATGGCGGATCTGCCCTGTTCTGCCCCGTTGGAGAACCCGACTCAGGACTCTACGAGCAGGTTGGCATCGTGAACTGGGGCATGGAGTGTGGCCGGAAGGATGTCCCGGCAACCTACACAGATGTGGCTATGTTCAGGCATTGGATTGACCAGAAGCTGCTTCCTTTTCAATACAGAAGTTCAGAAAGACCATTACACCAATAAGAAATTACTTAATGGAAAAAATGCATTAATATATGTTTAATGCAGTAACGTGGTCTATCAACATTAATAAAGATCTGTATAAATAACATTTGTATTGTTATTTTCTAATCATGGGTATCTAACAAAAACACCCCCTAACGAGGTAAAAATATGGGACGATCGCACTTTCAACATACAACATTTCTGATATACATTTTTGTGACTAAAACAATTTTCTGCTAAGTCCCGCTTCAACAAAGAATTTAAGTTTATTGTCTACACAGGCATTTTTTATTGCATCGTGATCAATTGCTAGTCAATTATACATCGCTAGCCAGAGTCTGGTCAAAATAACCAAATGACGCGATTCCTGTTAAAGAAAGGTAGGATTTCCCCAATTGATTATCGGCTCAATTTAGTGATAATGTATAAGAAATATTTTGTGTATGCGTGTATATAAAGACAATGTTGATAGCCTTTAAAAGTTCAGATTCTTTGGTAGCAAAGTGCTTAGGTCAAAGACTATCAACAATTATCAATTCAAGTGAACGGACATGTCTATATCAACTGGCATGGAACGCAGATAAGGAATATGTATATTTAATTATTAGTAAATGGGAAAATGTACAGATAATCCATATGAAGATCAAAGTATTGTTATGATCTTTTTATTTTCTTTGGAATTTTGAAAATATAAGTCTTAATTGTTACCTCCAATTTCTTTAGAAATTTAGCATACTTTCTTAAAAATACTCAAATTTAAAATACATTTTAAGTTCATTCAAATTTAAAAGATATATGAAGCGGAGATGTTTCTATTTTAAATAAACAAATAAATATCTTACTCCCTGGCGGTTCGCAATCTCTCCGCCTGCGATACCATATTCGTCTTCCTCAGGGCTCGAATTCTTTCCTCCTTGTTAGCCAGTTCGCGGTGGTACCAGTCCCTCACCTGGCGGTACTTAGCCTCCCTGCCCTCCGCCAGGACCACTTCCTTGACGAGCTGCTCATTTTTGCGCAGCAGGTTTTGGCTGGTTCGCTGCTCGTCAGTCAGTTGCCTTTGCAGATTGGTTTGCTCCATCCGGGCGGCGAAGAGCAATTTCTCGTTCTGGTCAGACAGCTCTTCCAGCTCATCGTACTGCCAATAAAAAAAAGAATTTCTTAGCAAAAACAAAAGCTAGGTCGAAACAATTAAATTTTTTTGTATTAAAATTTTGTTTTACTTGCGTTACTTTTAAAAAAGTTTTTATTCTGTTTTCGCAATTAAAACGAAAAATTATAGAGCACAATTTTTTTATATTCTTGTATTTTAATTTTTATATAAAAGACAAATAACTACTTTATTCAATTAATTAATAACAATTTCAGATAACTCTTGATTTTTAATTAAACAAATTTAAAATAAAACTGTTGTTTTATTACCTTTACTTAAAGTTTAACAATTAAGCAGACAATCTATGAAAAGGTCGTTCTGAAATTAAGTCAAGCCACTAAGTAGGCAACATATTTTGTTAATAGGACCAACATTGATATAGATGGGACACTTGACTACAGCGATCTTGTTCAGTATTGGCTCAGAAATCTAAACTCGGAGACACATTCGTATTTTAAGTTTTGGGCGTTTTGCGTAAATATTACGCATACGACACGTTTGGTCAGTTAAAATAAATACGTATACGTGATAAATGTCAATACGGAGTCTTAAAAAAGCATTATTTTCCAGCATAGTTTTTGTTGTACATTAAATTACAAAAACGCATAGAATAAGCGGGTATGAGTAAGCCCTTTTTGTTTTGTCGTATTTTTATGGATTAACTTACCTCCTGTCTGCATTGTTCGAGATCCGTCTGCAATTGAATTTTCTCGTTTTTAAGATTGCGAACCGAGGACGTGAGAACTTCGCAGGAGGATCGCACTTGGTCGATATTCAAAGCGGATTGCTTAAGTTGCAACTGAAGTTCGCTGTTTCTCTTCTGCTCAACACGCATCATAGTGCCATAAACATGCAGCTGGTTCTTGGACTTCATGGACTGTAAGTCGTTCGATTAAGATGGGATAAACATTTAAAATGAAGGGGAAAACGTCTCCAAAACATTGGAGTTCTTACACTGGTCTGAAGGCGCTGCACCACCTCCTGGAGTTGACGCACCTCCTTCCGCCGTTGGCGCCAAGTGTGGAGCATCACCGTGGTGAAGACCTTCATGCTGGCATCAGATTTACGCTGGTTCCAGAGTTCCGGTTGGGACAGCATCATCTGCTGCTGATCCTCTGAAGCACTCGTCTGCAACAAAGAAATCTTATCGCACGAGCAATCACAGCAAATGTCCCTTTCCTGGCCGTCTATTTTATCCATAACTGTTTCAAAGTGTAACTTAAATTTTTCAGGGTTATACCAAGTTTAAACCTAAAATCGTGTGTTGCTTTTTTTGAAGCGCGTTAAAAAATAAAAACTAAAAATTGACTTTACATTCCTTACTGAATTTTATGGCAAGTTGAAAAAATGGGTTAGAATATGGTGAAGTTTTAAACAAAGCCCCCCTGATTATACAAAAGTTAAATCTTTCGCTTTTCTTGACTTATTTTGCAACAAAATACCCGGAATTGGTCAAGGTTATCGGGGGTTAACTGGCGATTTGCACGCACACGCGACTAGGTCTCAAGGTTTTTCGGGTCTGTATTGGGGGTAACTTTGTTAGCAACTTTGAAGGACCCTACATTTGATTGGCTTGGATTATATATTTGTGTACTTAACATATATTAATAACATTATTAAAAAACCCACTCTAAAAGATTCGCAGAATTAAAAAGAGTGGCAGAGTTCAAATCGTAAAAAATTTAATTTCTGGAAATACCAAATCGAAAAAGGTGATTATCAGCATTTCTTTATTATCAGTCATTTAGGTTATTGTCTTCTTATCTTTATGGTTAGAATTAATAATGTTTTTCTTTAGAATAAATAATTTTAATTTAATTTTGTTTACAAAAAATTTAATATATAGCTTGTATTATGTTATGTAATAGAAAATGTTTTTGTATTAAGTGTTTAAAACTTAGCTTATTATAATAGTTTATTACTGCACAATAAGACTTTATAAATTAATTTTTAAACGGAAATATATAAATGTTTATATTTTGTTTATGGGTATAATTTCCTGGAATGCTTTAAAGTCGTTACTGACCCGCAAACTAAAGACTTTTACTAAAATCAGAGTAGTACTGTTTTGCGCTGTTTTTGAGACAGAAACGTGGCTACTTAAGACGAAGAAAAGGTTCAATAAAATAGTTCAATTTTAAAAATTCTTGTAAAATCCAGAGGATTTTTCATAAAGTTATAGAGGAAAGTGCAATCGCGATAATATATAATCTGTGCCCCAGGCCTTAACATTGAATAGAGGCCCCAAGATTGTAGGGTTAGTTGCCCCACCGCTGTCAAGGACACGTGTCACAGGAAGTTCAAAGAGTTTAAGGCGAAAGCCCGACGACCGGAAAAATCAATAATGTCGTATACCCAGGTACACGAAAACGCCTGCCTCAGCACGTGTCGCCTTATTAGGGGGTAGGATCCATCCCCATTAAAAATTTGCACGCGGGACTGGACGAATATCGCGTGATTTTCATGGAAAACCCTTTGCAATTGGCTGTCGGCATTTTTTCGGGAGTGAGAGTTTTTACCACCACTGTTTGATCGATGTCTGGTTTCCATTAACTGGGTGTAATTGTTGTTGTTTTTCGTTCGTGCCATCAAGACATTGTGAGTTGACTTAGGTTCCATTTTCCCGTTCCTTTTTTTTTTTGTGCGCCAATTGTTGTGAAATTCCAATACAAACATTTGACATAATTTCTATTTATTTGGGGTTAGCTCATGTGAAATTATATTTTTTTTTGAGGGAAATCGTTGGACATAACCATTCGTTCGCATGACTTTCGTGCCAGTTGTGTGTGGCCTAAAGTTTCTGATAAGGATTATACGATAATGGCGGGAAATTCGCTTTTTAAAGATCCAATTTGGGAGGGAGTTTCAACTCGTTTCCTAAAATGTTATGCTGTTGTATATTATAATACACGGTGAAGGATTTATGTATTTTAGATATGTAAATATTTGATAGGGACTCCCAAATATTTTGTGGACTCTAGTCTTAGACTAAATTACTAACAATTTTAATTATGTTGCCCTCTGTGCTCTGCATTGATTTAAAGTAAAGTATATTAAGCGAAAGTTTTCTGTTATTTTGTACAGATTTATATAAATATATATTCTTATAATTTTCGGTCCAATTATTAACATAATTTATTTGTGTCTACACTTTGAACAAACTATGACCTTTTGATTGTTCGGCGAGGGTTATCTTTTAATTGTCAAAAAAATAATAAATAATGCAAGAAGCTGCCGGAAATATTTCCGCTTTTATAAAATGTTGAAGATAATCCTTGGTAAACAAAAAAATCTCAAAACCGACCTAATGACTAATTATTCTATTATCGATTAAGCCCCGTATTGCCCTATTGTAGACTCTAAGCCCCCTTTTCAACAGAAGTGAATCAGCAACTTATCAAATTCAGTGGAAACTGGCATCTTGAATGTCAGAGTTCGTCCGCCCGGAAAGTGAAAGCTGCTCCGGAATGTTCAGCACGGAACAAGTGAGTCACGGCATTGGGCCTCGGTCGGAGTGAAAATTAATGCCACAACAAATGTCGGCGCAGGATAATATCCTTTTTCCAGGAATCGTACGCTGATTCAGGCCGGCAAGGCTGATGGGAGGAAGTGGGGCCAAAAGTGGATGGGTGACCAAAGTCACAAACACAGATAGTGAGTACTTCGAACGATTTCATTCATAAAAGCAGAAAAAGCTTTTCCCATTCGGCCACTTGTGAGGATGATTCACAACTAAAAACACTGTGAAAAAAATCGTACAGAAATTATGAACTTAGATTTCATAAAAATTTGTGTATATAAAAAATAATAAAACATGAATTTATTTGTCCTTGTTCACTTATTTGTTTTCCGTTTTTTTATTTAAATCCAAATTTATGAAGAAATTAAAACTTCTTGCCTGTATAGAAACAAAACGGATGTATATTTCAAATTCTTCATTGTTGCCCTAGTAACCAATTGCTTAGATGAAATAAGACTACTGATAAACTTTTATGAATGTTTATTTCCGATTAGGTTGTGGTGAGCAAAAAAATATATACTTTTCTATAACATTATATAAAATTTAAGTACATGCAATCTTGGGTCTCATAAATTTTATAAAAATTTGTTATTATTGTTAGGCTGTCTTCTGCCTTTTCGAATTGGCATTACTAGCAGATATAAATGGCAAGACTATTTGTTAGTAGTGTTAAATTTAGATGCCTTGTGGCGTACGCAATAAAAAAGACCTGACACCAAACTACATTTTTCATTTGTATAAAATCTACTGATTTTAATTTAAAATAATTTTAAATAAATTTAGCTTGGTTGTTAAAATACTATATTCCTGCGTTCTCTTCCCGCTCTGAGGCCGCTACGTGACTCAGCACAGCCATAACTGATGATTCGAGGCTCTCTCTGCAGCTCCCATTCTCCTCTCCGTCGATCGGGCTTTCGAGCTTTACTTGGATCTTCACTGAGCCCCAACTAACAACCCAACTCCACAGAAAGCTCTCCGATTTCTGCGGTATTTTCAGTGGCGTCTATTATGCCTAAAAGGAAGGGTTAAGTTAGTCTTCAAATCGCGCGCGTCGAGATCGGTTGTGGTTGTAGTTGCTCGTGTGTGTTACGTGCGTTTTATCTCCACTTCGAGCGTTATTTACCTTTTCGCTGTGCTTTGGAGCTTTCGCTCTCTGGATGTCTGCCGAAGTCCGAAGGCAGGTTGAAATACCAGTGAACAAAAATAAAATTGAAAAGTAAAAGAGCTGCATAAAAACACATAAATTTCAATTGAGCTAAGCAAGTTTCACTTGCTTTGGTATTACGAGTGACACGAAAATGAGACTTACCTTTATAAAGGGGAAAAAACATGGCGCACGTATTGATAATTTCGATTAAAATTGAACGTTTTACCGATTAGATTACACGGCACATCGACAATTTAACCAGAGACATCGCGAGAATTGCCAAAAAAAAGATAAAGAGAGAGAGAGGGCGAGATAACAAATTACCAAGTTTAAAAACCGAAAAACAAAAACAAAAGCTAAGCGATGATCGCATAAGCATAAAGCCCGGAATTCCCTAAAAGAAAAAGACGTCACGCTCCCCACACTATTCCCCTCTCCTTCCCACTCTGCCCACTCTCTCTTTCGTCGGTCTTTGATTTTTAAACTTTTTATTAGTTTCTGTTGAAACTGTTCTCCCCAAACGTTGTTTTTGTTGTTATCATCGATATTATCGCACCCGCTTTGTGCGCGCGCAAAAAGTAAAAAAAAATGAGAAGAAGAATCAGAAAGAAGAGAAGAAAACATTATTTATATATATAAATAATAAGTAAACCGGTTTCTGTGAGTGACTCTGTGTGTGTTAGCGTTAACATTAAAAATTATATTTTTTCAACTATAAATAAATGTCTCATTTTGCTCGTGTCGCATTTAACTAATTTACATAACGGCACAATTTTCCGAATAACACAAAACAAAATGAATACATACATATATGCAAATAACAAGTGAACTAATTGATTCGCGTTAAATTTCAGGCGTCTTTTATTATTAGCAGCGCCCAAGTGATCAATGCATATAGCCAGTTTTTAGATCACTCCTTGACTTGGGTGAGTCCCCTTAGAGCCTAGCTTTATTTATTGATTGTGAGGTTTGATGACACGATTTTAATAAACGCTGTGGAAATTCCTAATCGCTTAAATCTACGAAAAGGGTCTGGATTTTTGTATTTTAGTCTTTTTATTTTAATAACAAAATCTTTAGTTTTCAGGGTATCAAATATTTAAGTAATTTGAGAAGAATATTAGAGTCATCGTATTCCAAAATATTAAAAAAAAAACAAAAAAATATTTTATAGTGTTGGGATTTTTTAACACTTATTCACGCATTTAAATGATAATGATAACAATGTATGTACATATGTTTATTTAATATAACAGGAAAACTCAGTAACCAGACTTCCTGTTATGTTGGATTAATATATATATTTAGTTCTTAGTTTATTTTTAAATTGTGATATTATTTTATATTATTTTAATTCAAGTTTTTTCCATTTTCTTTATGCCTGCTACATTTTTAAAAGTTTTATCCAAAAATAATTTCAAAAAAACTGTCTTACTTAAGATATTTTTTAAAATTCAACAATAAGAGCATCTTAGTAGCAACTTTTAAACATTGGTTTAGTGCTTTTTCCTTTTTTTATCACACATAACCTTATTAGTTTTAAATAAAGTAATGTTTGTTAAAAATGTTCTATTAAAAGTGAAATAAAAGCACAGAAGATTCAACTCCTTCGGAATAGTTGTGAGGACTATGCCTTTTACAGTGTAAAACTTTTGGGTGGCAATTATCCACCTGCGTATTAAATAATCTACGGTGAATGCAAACGATAAACTTAAATAATATAGCCAAAACACCTGTGTACATGGCAGCGCAGTCGCAGTGGCTTTTTCGACGTCGCCATAAATGAAAGTTTCTTACGAGCACGTGGGTGATGGAGGGGGCGGTGCCCAAGGGGGTGGTGCTCGGAGAAAAGCTTTTGCCACTTGCATTTGTTTTTTTTTTTGTTTTCTGCTTTTTGCGGCTACTCAAATACGCCGGAGAGGTTTTCAATTGTTTCATTCTAAGATCGAATCGATGCGCTTACGGTCGTGCTCGCGCTGAAACTCTATTATTTTTATTTTTATTATTTAGATTTACGGTTCGAAATTTTTCTGTCGAGTTTAAATAGTAAATCGTAAAATACAATTTTTAAACAATAAAGACCGGTAATTGTGTTTTGTGAATGTGGCCAAGAAATTAAAGAAATAAGTTAGTCATGTGTGTTAACTGGTCCTTGGTTTAATTTGCAGGTAATTATGAATAAAGGCTTTTAGCTAATGCGGTGTAATTTCGATATCTGCAGCCAAGTTAAATGCAAACCGGCTAATGACTCATAATATCGAGAGTGTCGGGCGAAAGAAAAACAAAGCGTTAAAATCGCAAGTTTTCAGCAAGTCATTTGCGATATACAAAGCTCGAGTGGAAATTTGTGAGCTGACGGAGATCTAAGGCCAAGTCAATAGATGATATTCCATATATCTAGTGGTAGTTTCCCCGTATGCTAAGCCCATGTCATGATTGATACGATCTGGCGGTGGGTAAGGCCCTCTATGCAAATCATTTATCAATAGGAATTCTGATTTTATGAAATGTCTTGAATCATTTAAAATAAAAGCGTGGAGTAATTGGAGTAATGGATAAGATAGGAGGTTTTGCTTGGTCTCACATGTGTATTCCATTCCCGCAAATTTAATCTATTGGGTCCGTTTATAGATAAATCTTGAAGTACAGTTTTTATTTGATTTTTTGTTTTTGCTTCTTAGTTTTCCCTTAAAATTAAGTTGAAATAAAGGTAGATGCGCCTGTTAAGGTACAGTAAAAAAATAATTCGAGTAGAACAAATGCTTAAAGTTGACTTTTTCTTTGTTAAAACTATTTTATTAGTACTGAGTTCTGTTTATAAAAAAACGAAAAGTTGTTTCTAAATTTTGAAATATTTGCAACATTTTATTATAACAGAAATAGAAAACATTTTGTTTTGATTGTAAACAGTTTAAACCCTGCTTAGTATTATTCCATAGCGGATAACGAGCTACAAAATATAACGTTCAGCTGAACAAACTATGAGAATCGAAATACAATCTTGTTTAGGGAATTTAAAAAACTGCTTTTATTTATTTCCCAAAAACTATTTTATACCATAACTATTTGGAACTAGTTCCATCTATTTGTCAGCATATCGGTTATTTATTTTTATTTGAGCTGTAAATTGCTTGACGCCGACGATCGTTAAAAAACATTTGTCTGTCTAGAGGTTTTGCGGAACCCGTTTCTCTGAGGAATTTTTGGCTGCTTCTGCTACTTTGATGTTGATCTTAATCTTAATTTGTGGTGCTGGCGCCAAAAGAACTTTTTTCTGTGTGTCTTCTCTATTGAAAATTGCATAAAATTAGCATATTAAATGATCGAAACGAAATGTTTTTATTTTATTTTGTTTATTTACCTTTATATTTTTCACCAAAAGAAGTCATAACTGGCTGATAACCGAAGATGCCGATCGAAGTAGGAGAATGTTATTTTATTAATCAATTTTATAGCTGCAAAAAACTATTTTAACGTTCATGGGGTTTTTACGGTAACAATTTATCAAGTGGAATTTTCGTTAGAGTCAGGTAATACAAGATATTACCAGCTAAAAATAATTAGTGAAACAGTTGGTTTACAATCTGAATATCCAATACATATGTGCAAAAGTTTAACAAACTATATAACCATTAATTCAGTTCTATTTTTATGTTTCTAATCTTATTTTTGGTTATCTTTTGGTATTGTTTTCGGTATTTATACTCTTACCACCTGAGCACTATCAGTCTGAACGTTCTTTTTGATAGGCGTACACGGTAGCAAATTTGGTTTCCTGCAAATGTTTTAATCTCATTTTTGCTGTGGATGATTTAATAGTGTGTGAACCCGTATTACCATTAAATTCGGTCGCATAGTTTTTTGTTTTCCCCTGGGTTACATTTTCAATGGGTTAGCTAATCGTGGGAAATTCCAGCGTTTTTATATCCTCAAATAAGGAGATTGTATCTTCTAAGGTAACTGACCTATTCCCGTTCTGTTCCAACATTCTCAAAGAAAAAAGTCACGTAGTTAGTGAATGATTTTCGCCAACAGTGGGTGGCACACGAGCAAATTCCTGAAATATTTTGATCTATATAGCTATTTGTTTTGTGACTCATGTGTGCTTCGTGGAAATTCGAGGGGCAAGTCAAAATTAAGATATTTTGTTATTAAAAATCTTTGAGTATAATGCATCCATTCATTTCGGCCGAGGTATACATACTATATCCTATACCCAGCATAGATCGTATAATTGGGTTTGTACAAACTCATAAGAAAGCTTTCTGAACTGGCGCCAAATACTCAAGGAGGATTGAACGGTGACAAGTGCCGAGTTTTTTCACCGTGGATTCTGAAACGGAAATGCCAATATAACCTAAAGCCCAAAGCCATATGCCTACTATATGTATATATTCGGTGCATACAAATGTACTTGAATAATGTGTTTATATTCACTGCAAAAACAAACAATCCTCTGTTGATGCATTTTATGGTAATTTTTAGATACCTTTGCATCTTTTGCTTAGATTAGACTCATTTTGTGCGATTTGGGGTTTTTCACTCCAATAAAAGATGATTCAGACTTGCAGGTTCAATATATAGTATGGTGTTAAGTGCGAAATTAACATATATTTTTGATGAACATATTGAATCGATTTTTTTTACTCGGTCATTAGTTGATGCTTTTATATGATATAGTTTTGGTTAATGCCCTCAAAGTTGAAATTTATTTTTATTACTTAGTTTTGAAGGTGACCAAAAAATTTAACTATATGTTTTAAGCCAAGCGTTAGGCAACAACAACAGTGCAAGTAGAATATATATTTTACATGTTTGACTTTTACATTGTAATACGTACTAAAAAGTTATTATTCTCATATGAACCAATTGGTGATAAACCAATAGAACTCGTGTACGATCACAATCAATTCAATTTGTTTACACAATTGCCAGTAAAAGTTTATTGACATCGGTAATTAAGTTTTCATTTCAATTCTCTTAATACATACTTGCACACATACATATATTCCATATTCCTACTATGGGAAGTGAAAAATATATATCTTGCAATTTTTTCAGAAAAATTGGGACAACTGCCTCAACGAAAGAGAAAATTCCTTGAAAGCAAAAGCAATAAATACATGACATGATATAAATATACGTAAGCGTGTACATTGTACCTACAAGCCAAAATTTTAAAGAAAATACATTTTTAAGATATTAAGAAAAATACAAATAGCAGAAAGCTCGACGACAAAACTTTTGCTGGGCAGGCGTGTATAAAGAATTCTGTGTTTTTTCTCAAAAACATTTTTCTCGGTTCAGTGTTCAGACATTAGACGAGTACTCAAGACGTTCGCCGAGCGTGTTTTCGTCGGTCCCGTCAACTAGAGAATATTTTCTCTCGATAATACCTATAGATTCGAAATATATAGACAGTTCAAGACCAAAGCGACAAACTACAGAAAAGGTCGATTGGTGTGCGGTTATTGAAGAATAAAAATCAAATAATCTTTATAATATCTCGAAAATATATTCTATTTCTCGTGTCAATATTATAATTGATTAAATAATAAAACCTACTAAATTTCCCAATAACTCCAACTTTATCTGTGTGGTGGTGAAAGTTTGGCCGTGATAAGTGAAAGGTGATTTATCGTTCAATTCTCTATCTAGATAAATAGGTGTGGGTAATATATAAAGTAACTAAATTGCATTTGTATTACATATGCTGGCATTTGTCCAACGAGTTTTTCATATTTGCCAAATTTAAATTATTTCATGACGTAATTCTTCCCCAATATTCTGTGCTTCACGAATATGTTGGTCAGTTTTAGGGTCTCAACAATTGTTTATCGAACCACAAACGTAAATTTGTGTTAAATTTAAATTGCAGAATGACAGCACGTGGGAATGTCTTTTGATTTATTATAATTTTTTAAAAAGCTTCAAAGGTTATTGGACCTTGTTGTTTCTTTAATAAGATAGTGAATATTGTCCCATTGGACATGATTTATAATCGAAATATTTCTAGTTGACGCACAAAAAGAATTTGGCAGCTGCGAAAACTTTGATCGGGAAATCGAATTACTCTAAAAAAAACAGATGTTTTTGTCTATATGTTTCGATAAGTTTAAGCAAATGCTTAAAAAAAATCAATGGACAAATTCTTAAAACAATGTAAATTAATATTTATTGAAGGCTTATATTACAAAATGAGCAAATACTTTTAAATATATTCATACAACCTCATAAGTTCATTCACCGCAATCATTAATAAGTTCAGATACTAAATAACAGATTCCCAGTTATCAGCCACGTTTTTCTTTTGTTTGGATAAATATACTTATTATACAAGTTCATTTTAAAGTTTAAACAGCCGATGTGATTAGGAACAAAGACACACTCATAAGATTCTAAGAAAACCGCACAGCACATAATTATTAAGAAAATCTGACTTTTTCAATAATAAAAAATCGTCAATACTTTCCATACAGAAAATAATAAAAACGAAGAAACTGGTCCTTAACTCGTGAACTTGTTATTGGTAAGAAGCTATCTCGTTCTTGTTTAATCAAACGATTCAGTATACATATTATTTCTTCCTTTTACGATTGCAAATACATATGTATCTTACAAGAAGAAAATTGGCACACGTTTTCTGGCTTCCGCTTTTTACCCCCACCGATCAGATCGGTTGAGATCAGACCAATGCATGGCCATTAGTTTGGTCAGTCTTTGACGTATTTTACCCACGGCAGACCGATGTCTAGACATGATCAGAGAATAAACTCTGAGGTCATACAGCTACTTAGTCTTCGTCTATATCCTATATCTTGGTACCTATTTGAATGATCAGCGAACGAAACATTGACAAAGCCCGACATCATTGATAAAATGTTTTGTTTGGATTGTTTCAAACTCGCCAAAAAAAAAAAAACAAATAAGCCATTCCATCTCCGGGGAGGCCAGTCTGCTAGGCGATCTATATATACGGCCACCTATATATACTACCTGATATATGGGAGGCAGAGTTTTTGTCGCTTTGTGGCCGCGTTACGCAAAATGTTATTTTTAAACAAGGCGCCCGGAGCTGTGGCCGGACTATACCGGACCTGACCGGGGCCGGACTCGGTCCCGGCCAAATAAAAAAGAAAACATGTGCATTGCATCCACTGCAGCTGCATCAGATTCCGGCGAAAATTATGAAAATATACATTTCTCCTAATGACCCCTAAATAGTGCAATTAATGCTGTCCAATGTACACAAAAACGACCACCCTCGCAGAAAAAAAAAGGAGAGAGATATGTAAATAGATTGTGATCGGTTTGTGAGAGACTTTTCCAAGTTTTTAGTTATCTGCCAGACGCATTACGGTCCGCTTCGTCATAGCCAGTGGTCAAGGGAATCTTACTCATATAGCAGATCACTTCGGCAGCTAACAGTTCGAACAACTACACGAGTCTGAGGTTTTATTTTGATCAACACCGTCATCGTCTGGCGTTGTCTGGGGGCCTTCGATTTGCTTGCCAAGGAATTGTTCCTCTTTTGCTATTGCCATAACTTTAAATCAGAAAAAGGTGCAGAAAATGTAACAAGTAGTCTATTTTAGTGCATTATCTCAACACATGAGCATATGTATGCATTCGTTAAACAGATTTAAAATTTTTTTAAATTTTGGTAAAACGTAGAAAACAAAATAATGCTTTTATATGTTACAACTACAATATGGAATTCGAATTCCTTTTTCTTAAGAAAACAGTAAAAAATTATATGTTTTTATTAAATACATTTTTTTCATATTTTATAATCTAACTTTTAAGATTCACTTTAGTTTAATCACAAATAGACATCTCGGCCCATTGCTCGATCTTTTAATCTTACTTATGTGAATGTTTGTGAATTTCTGTATAAATGTATTAAAAAATTATATTTTTAATCTTAAAAACATTCCTGGCTCTTAAAACGAACATTATGTGATCAAGCTATTCTGAGCGAAGTCATAAGATCTGGTTTCTAAACGTTATAATTATTTGAATTTTTTAAACATTACTTTAACTTAATCCTTTTCTACTCCTTTTGCAGTTAGTATTTTGGCCACGCAATGTTTCCCAATCAGAACAACATAGCTGCTTCTGGGCCGGGTCCATCGGCTGATGGCCAACAGAGCCTCAACTACAACGGTTTGCCAGCCCAGCAGCAACAACAGCAGCAGCAGCAATTGTCGCAGTCTACGAAAAATGTGCGGAAGAAACCGTATGTGAAGATCACCGAACAGCCGGCGGGAAAGGCCCTGCGATTCCGCTACGAATGCGAGGGTCGCTCGGCGGGTTCCATTCCGGGTGTTAACTCCACGCAGGACAACAAGACCTATCCCACAATAGAGATTGTGGGCTACAAGGGACGCGCCGTGGTTGTCGTCTCCTGTGTCACCAAGGATTTGCCACATCGGTAAGTTTATTTCAATAAAAATGTAATTTCTTTCCAATCAAAATAGATTTTTAAATAGATCGTATGCAACATTTAAATTTTTTTAACAAAACAGTAATTGTTTACTTTAAAATGAAAATTAAAAAGTAGTTTTTTACTTTGAAATAAACAAAAAAACTAAAATGTTGTTAATTTTCAATTTCCAGTTTTAAAAGTTAATTTACTTTCTATTTATTTCAGTCCTCATCCTCACAATCTCGTGGGCAAGGAGGGCTGCAAGAAGGGCGTCTGCACACTGGAGATCAATAGTGAGACAATGCGAGCCGTGTTCAGTAATTTGGGAATTCAGTGTGTCAAGAAAAAGGATATTGAGGCGGCCCTCAAGGCGCGTGAAGAGATACGCGTGGATCCGTTTAAGAGTAAGTGAAATTACTTGACTATCAATCAATGGAATTCTGTAAAGATTAACGTTTTGTTCTTCCAACACCAGCTGGCTTCTCGCATCGTTTCCAGCCCTCAAGCATCGATTTGAACTCGGTGCGACTGTGCTTTCAAGTATTTATGGAGAGCGAGCAGAAGGGTCGCTTCACCTCGCCCCTGCCACCGGTGGTTTCCGAGCCGATCTTCGACAAGAAGGCCATGTCCGACCTGGTCATTTGCCGGCTGTGCAGCTGCTCGGCCACCGTCCTCGGGAATACCCAGATCATCCTGCTCTGCGAGAAGGTGGCCAAGGAGGATATAACGGTGCGATTCTTCGAGGAGAAGAACGGCCAGTGTGTTTGGGAGGCCCTTGGTGAATTTCAGCACACCGATGTGCACAAGCAGACTGCCATTACCTTTAAGACGCCGCGATATCACTCTCCGGAAATAACAGAGCCCGCCAAGGTGAGGAATTACTTACCCTTAAGAACTGTGCCAAGATATAATCCATGCCACTTCATGCCATCCAGGTCTTTATCCAACTGCGACGTCCTTCGGACGGAGTCACCAGCGAGGCCCTTCCCTTCGAGTACGTGCCATTGGACTCAGGTAAAAATACGTTCTGGACCCTTCATCGGCACCTCAAACGCAAGCCGGACGAAGATCTCTTTCAGCAGATCCTCAGGTTGGACGCCAAGCGGGAAACGCAGGCGCCAACGATTGAGGTCATCGATTTGGATACACCGAAAATAGAGGTGCAACATGATCTACCACCCTTGAATGTCGACTTTAATCAAGAGGAGTCTCAACAAAAGGAGCCCGTTTTTGAACAAGAGCAATCCTCCCAGCAAGAGCAATATTCACAAGAGCAATCCTTACAGCAGGAACAACATTTGCAGCAGGAACCACCTGTGCAACAACAGGAGCAAACTTTTCAGCTAGATGAACCCATGGAGCAGGAGCAATCTCTGCCGGTACAACAATCTTTAGATCAGACCTCAGATCAATTGCCCGATCACACCTCGGATCATGTTCCCGAGGATATGGAGGCGGCAGATGCCCAGGCAGAGGCTGAAGCACACCGCCTGCGATCCGAGCAGGAAAAAGAGATTGACACCATTATCGATGAGAAGGTGCGGGAGCTGGAGCAGCTCGAACTGGGTCACCACTTGGAGCCACGGCCATTGACGGCCGACGATAAGATCACCGAGTGGATGAAGTCCAGTGAGATCGAACAGCAAGGTCATGAACCAAGTCCCACCGCAGCCGAAGGCGAAGAAGATGTTATGGACTCGGCCCTCGAAATTTCCAAGGCAGATAAAACCCTTGACGAATTGCTGGAGACAGTTGCCGAGCTGGATGAGATTTACACGGATTTTAAAGTGCAGCGCGATACGTACAACAATACGATTCAAAATGAGTTGGCTGCAATTGGGGGTCGAGCGCCACTACAGGTGGAGGATAGCTTTGATGATGCTGCCACCTATACCAGCCTGCAGATTGCCTTCAAGAACCCCGTTCTCATACCCATGGAAGATATAATGCCACCAACGCCGCCCATGTCGCAATGTGCCCCCGAAGATGCCCATCAGCACTACGATCCCGTGGAGGTGAACTCACAGGCCCGAAAGCCGGAGACTACTCAATTCCGCCCAGCTCCTCCCGTGCCGCCGGCAATTCTTACGGTTCTGTTTCCACCAGAAGAGGAGAAGCTGCCACCCTTGCCGCCGAAGAGGATTCGCAAACAGGACAGCAATGCTGAGAATCGTTCCATCGAGGCCAATACGGTTCAGGCCAGGCCATCCACAGCTGAATCTCCCTTAAACAAGAGACTTCCTCCCGCTCCGAGTCCCAAGAACCCGAACTTTAATACCCTGCCTAGGCAGAAGAAGTCGGGATTCTTCTCGAAACTCTTCTCCCGACGCAAGAGCAAACCGGACTTGGCCCAGGGGCAGGAGAACAGCTCGCTGCTGGGGGATTCCAAGGGGAATAGTCGGGAGCCCAGCATAGGGCACTTTAGTATGCAGGATCCGATGAGGGCCTCCATGCGCTCCTCCAAGTCAGCAGCTCCGTTCATCTCGAGTCCAGCCCCGGCCAAATCCAGTCCTGTAAAGGCCAAGAAGCCAGGATCCAAGCTGGCCAAGCCGGTGGGCAGGAGTGTGAGTAGTGTCTCCGGAAAGAGACCCGCTTACCTCAATGCCGATGTGGTGCACATACCCCTGAAGGGTGATAGTGCCAACAGTTTGCCCCAACATCAAAGAAACGAGGGCTATTCCCAGTCCAGCACGATTTCGGTGGGCGCGGGATTGGATAGACGCACTGCATCTGCCTTGCAGCTGGCTGAAATACCAATTAGCGAGGGCGGAATGGAACTGGTGGCTATTGCCGATCGCCAGAGTCTACACAATTTGGTCAGCTCCATTGAAGGCCACTTTAATGTCCAACTGGATCCCAATCTGGATTTAACAGAGGCCGAGCATTTTGCCCTGTACACGAGTATTCCGCCACTTGCGGCGGCCAGCGAATTCGATGAGACCTCCGCCTATTATGCTCCCGTGGATGCGGGCGAGATCCTGACACCCGATGAGGTGGCCCGGCGATTGGCGGCTGCAAATGGCCTCTAAATTTTGTTTGAATAAAACATTGTTAATAGGCAAACGAACCGAGGGAAATCCTCCAACGAAACCCCAAAAAACGAAGCAAGTTGGCTGCAAGCCAGAGGGAAATGGAAAATGGAGACCATTTCCATCATCTCTGGTGCCACAAATTGTCCACTTGTGTAAAGGCATCTGAAGCGGTTCCGCTTCGGAACCTTCAAGAATTTGTATTTGTTTTATATTTGATAATTGTGCTAAAAGTATCCCCGAATATTTTGTAAGCGATACTAAGCAAAAGACGCCAAAAGGGGTCGAACCAGATTTGTTATTGTCCAGGTGGCTCATTCAAGGGGCCTACCTATCGTATTGTATTTAAGCGAAATCACTCAATTTTCAGAGTAGAGTAAGATTTCCCAAATGGAATCGAATATTGTTTTAATTGAAACCGAAAACCCGATTATATGTACAACACGTGTGTGTATTTTGTCTTATAGATCCAGCGCACTTGAGGCGGAAACGTCAGAAGACTGGCGGTGATCCCATGCACCTGCTGCTCCAGCAGCAGCAGAAACAGCAATTGCAGAGCGAGCACCAGGATGTCAGTAAGTTGACTGTTGAGATTTTCTATAAACTGGTGTCGGTCTCCTCTATCCTCTATTGTGTCTCTCGGCTTTGAACCGATTTTCCCGTGTGTTTGGATCCACTTGGGTACTTTGTTTTGAGATGCCAGCCATCTAACTGAATCCTACCTAATCAAATATCTTCGTATTTGATGTTTTTTTCGGTATACCAAAGACTTAAATTAGCAAATCATCGTTTCGATGATGTATTAATCGAATAGACTCCTAGAAACTATTAGAAAGCACCTACTCAATGCACACACTCACCCAAACAACACAAAGAGAAAAATACTATATTAAACTAAATATATTTATATATTGATTTACATCTATAGTCGAAATTATAGTCAAGGATGAGAGATTGATTTGAAATCAACATGCAATTTTTGTCGCTTTTCTACTCGTTTACATGCGAAGAATATTTGATATTTTTATATAATAAAAAATTACAACTTTGGTAAAAATATTTTGTATAAAATATTGTAGCTTAATAAAACAAAAAAAAGTTGAAATGTAAAAACTACATTTTCGCAAAAGTTTTTTATTGGAAAGGAACTTTTTTAAAGGTTGAAGTAAGTTTGTCATTAGAGTTTCATGCAGCAAAGAAGCTTTTGTATAGTTCTGAGTAAGTTTTAATTAGAGTTAAACAATTTGATTTGCGTTTTCTTAGGGCTTTGTTTCATTGCTTTAAATTTATGTTTGCTTGCATGACTTTTTATTTTTTTAAATTTATAAAAAGAATTATCAATTTTTTATGGCTTGTTAACTACTAAAATTCATACAATTAGTTTACAAGTTAATTTCTTGAATATTATTCAAATGATCTTAGTCTTTCTCCCATTTTTTATAATTTGTTTATTTTATAATTAAATTAAAATTCTTTAAGAGTAAGCTTTATTTGTTTGCGTTCCGTTCTGTTATGTTGGTTTTACCTACTTTATTTGTTTTGTTGAATGTTGTTTATATATTAACTTAATTTTATTTTATATTTTTTGTTTAAACTAATTTGTATTTATTTATTTTCCATTTTTCTGCATTAGGGCAAACTAACATGAATTGCTGGAATCCACAGAACATACCGCCCATCAAAACTGAGCCGAGAGGTGAGTATAGAATTTAATGTTAAGCATTTCGGACTTAAGTAATTAATTATAATTTGGAATCGAGAACTTAAGTCTACCTACCTCTACCAAAGATTTACTAATTCGAAGCTTCATAAACTTACTTTATTGGCAATAACCTTACTGTAATTTAGTTGTGGAGTTATGGACTTTTCGCATCCCAAGTAAATATCATAAATACTAATTCCTTAATCTTGTAGATACCTCACCACAGCCCTTTGGCCTTTCTTACCGAGCACCACCAGAGCTCACCCCCTCGCCGCAACCGTTGTCTCCATCGAGCAACTACAACCACAACAGTACGCCCTCTCCCTACAACAACGGCCAGCAGCAGCTGATGTCGCCCAACCACCCACAGCAACAGCAACAGCAGCAACAACAGCAATATGGGGCAACAGACCTTGGCAGCAACTACAATCCGTTCGCCCAGCAGGTTCTTGCACAGCAGCAACATCAGCAACAGCAGCAGCAGCACCAGCAGCAGCAACAACATCAACAGCAACAGGCTTTACAATTTCATCCCAATCCATTCGGGAATGCCGGAGGCAATAACTGGGAAAGCAAATTCTCAGCGGGAACTGTTGCGGCAGGACCAACAACTGCGACAGGAGCAACACCTGCCAACGGCAACATCGGCAACAGCAATCTCAACAATCCCTTCACCATGCACAACCTGCTGACATCGGGTGGAGGTCCTGGCAACGGCAGCAATCTGCAGTGGAATTTGACAACAAATCACCTGGTGGGTTTACCAACAGTATTTGATAAATAAATCTGTCTATCTGGTAAAAATAACCAGTTATTTTAATTAAAATTTAACCAAAAATGGAGAGTAGAAATTTTCTAAAACATATTTGCATTTACCTGACTACAGCAAAATCAGCTGACGCTGCAACAGCAGCAGCAACTACAGCAACACCAGCAACATGCCCCGCCCATGCATCAATATAACACTAATGCGCCCAGCAACAACAATCCCAACAACGGCAACACCAACAATAATAATGATAATACCGCCGGCAACCAAGCGGATAATGGTCCCACGATCAGCAATCTGCTCAGCTTCGATAGCGAGCAGTTGGTGCGAATAAACTCGGAGGATCAGCAAATACTGCGCCTCAACTCGGAAGATCTGCAGATATCAAACCTGTCTATATCAACATAATACCTTATTAAAACGAACCCAATACAAATAGAGCAAAAACAGCGGAGGCAGTAGAATGATGATGATGTAATGATGTAGAATTAAGTCTTGTCGACCTGGTCGTCGTCTAATTAAATGTTTTAGAGATTTAATACCTAGTCTTAAAGCAAATTGTAATATGTGTGTTTTGTAGGAAATAATGTTTTTATATATGAATAAATTAATCGTTTTAGCAGTAAATAACTTAGTTGATTTTGGTTTTGAAACGTTTGCTTTTTATTTTGTTTTCTAAGTGTAAAAAATTATACCTAATTGTATATAAATATTGTAAGCCGACCGGAAAAAAACCGGAAACTAAACTAATTCATGTTAAATGAACTATGAACTAATGGGAAATTAATGGTTTTGGATTTTTGTAGACCCTTCAGTCTAGTTAAAACTCAGAACTAAGCCGTTGTTAATGCGGAATCAAAAGCTAGAATGCAATCACGGTATTTTGCCATTGTAGATGTAATACTATTGTTTTTATATCAAATGCATTTGGTAAGTTAGGTACATAATATAAAATTTACCGCTTTGACTTTCTGTGATATTTCAAAGATGGAAAGTCGTGGCATCGAATTTACTAATATAAACTGCACTACTCTGGATAAAGAATTTTGCGATTTCGAATATTGTTATCTGAAAGCAATAAACCGTACCTATAAGCCCTTGTCACTCAAGGTTCGGCTCTATAAGACACCAGTTACTAAATTTTCGGTGCGATTTGAACATCATACTTTTATTCTTACCTTTTTATATAGCTAATATTCTTTCTAGATTAATATCTATTTTCATAAGCGATCAAATGGTCTTATGCCGATTAGTCACAATATCACTGTTGATGGCTGCAAGCTGATATCCGAGATGAAAAACCCCTTGGTTTCATTTCTGTTTGGTATGTTTAAAGCGTACTCAAACATTAACCATGCATGTCCGTATGATGTAAGTTTTTTTTTAATTTATTGTTTATTTGTTAGTTTTATTAATGTATTTTCCAGCATGATATTATTGTGGATAAGTTGCCAACTCAATTTGTATACCAGCAGTTTACCGGACTTTGGATCTTTCCTGAGGGCGAATATGTATACGATAGCAATTGGATAGCTTACGGAAAAAATCGAGCCAACGTCAGGGTCCACATATCGTATACGTAATTTTTTTTGGTTTGAATTTGATTAAATGAAACGAAAACTTAAAACCTACTTCTAACAAAACCTGCCTATTATGATTCAAAACGCTTATAAAATAATATTTTTTTGGATAAAATGTAAATTTAATAAAAAATTTAATTTTTTTATTTCCTATTTTTATTTGTATTTTTTAGACAATACCCTCAACAAAGATTTAAGTAACAATATTAACCATAAGAGAACATAGTGAAAACCGAAACAATTGGAATTATAAACGAATAAAAAAAACTATGAAATTGAAGTACCTATTTGCTGGAACTTTCTTGTTCCAGATCTTTATCGATCTCCTCCATAACTTTTGCGTAGTCCCCACCTTCGTCTAAACAATTTTGTGAGCCCCGTGAAAAGAGACTCTTTAATCGGTAAACCGCACCTGGAAGAGAAGGTGGAGCTGGAGGTGGAGTACCGGGTAGCATATAGTGGGCCACAAAGTGCAGCATGCGATAGGTGGCATGCTGGTAGGCCTGACTCTGGGCGAAGCACTGCCGAATCCTTTGACCAAGGGTGGCGGCCAAACAGTTTTGGAGGGTGACCAATTGCTCCTCCTTTTCCTCAATCGAACGCTCCATCTTTAAAGTTTGTTCCAGCAGTTTGCTAAATACAAGAAATATTAAAGTAGTACTCCCTGAAAGGATTTTAGTTTTCCCACCTGTACTGCTCATCAGATCCCCGCTTGAGATCCTCCAGCTTGGACATGTTTTCCCTTAGCTGATTGATAAAGTCCCGCTTGAGAACCAGGTCGATCTGAAGGAGATCCAGTTGGCGAACGAGCTCATCCTGAGCGGACTGGCTCTCCTGGTAATCGCGTTGCAGGCGGGTCAACTGCTCGAGCTGCTCCCGTTGCTGCGTATTTACCTTAAAGAGATCGCTCTTAAGGGACTGCTGCACCTCTAGTAGATTCGCGACGTCCTGGTCTTTGCCGGCCAACTCCTCCGCCAGTTTCTCCTTCTCTGTCCTGATCTGCACCAGAATTAGACTTAGATCCTCGTAGGAGAGCTTCGTCTGGGCATTTTCACGATAGGATTGCCTTAGTTGATCGTTTAAGGTCTCATTGCGACGCTTCTCCACGGAAAAAAGCGAATTGTAGACATGCAACTGGTTGCGATTCTTGACGACCTTTGCGGACAATGGAGATGGATTAAATAATGGGATTATGATTGATACTGAATATAATGTTGATGATACTTACGCTTTTCTTGTAGTCCTCCACCTGGTCGGTGAGATGACGAACCTCCTCTCGCCTCCGGCGCCATGCGTGCAGCATAATGGTGTTAAAGATTCTCAGGCTGGCCACTCGGGCATCCTGTTCTGGACCAACCACAAAGCTCATTTGGCCCTCAATAAGAGCGCTGTCCTGGAGCACCAACTTGGCCATGTTGCCCTCCAATCCTGACATGGCAGCACTTTCCTGCGGCTGCTCCTGAACAGATTTAGTGGGCGAGGCGACGTGAGCAACCAGCTGATAGTTCCCTGTGCGACGAGCCTCCTTGAAGTCCATTTGGGAGCAAGACTTGCGGACGCGAAAATTAATCAAGGCCGAAGTCTGCTGGCGCTTGAGGGTTAAGTATGGGGTCAGGGATGTGGGCTCCCGTAGCAGACTGGTCTTGGGCATTACCGTGTAGTTGGTCTGCCCCGAACTGGACACAGTGGTGGTCAAAGAGTTGTCCGAGGACGAGGGTGTCAGTAGCACTGCCTTGGGTATTTTGTTCAGCAGCTGCTGGCTGTTCTCCTTGTCTGCAAAGCTAATAAGAAAAACATTAATATCATCTTTTTAATTTTCTGATTCCAGATCCTTAAACTCACACATTATCCTTCTTCACGTTTCGCTGCCCCAAGATGCGACGTTTCGCCTGGCCGGCAATAAGCGTTTTCGAGTAGAGTGCTCTGGGTGATCCCTTTTGAGCACCTTTAGTCAAGCCAGCCTGGTTGCCCTGACGAATGCGTGGACTTTTGGGCCACATCCTGATCAAAAATTATATTTAAACTCAAAAAAAAAAACAAAGCTAAAAATAACTTTTTTATTTTGCTTAAAACGTACAGAAATCAATGGGGAACTGAATTCTGGTGATAGAAAAAAGAAGGAAACAAATGAAGTCACGGAAATAGCCTACTAAAAATGATTAGAAAAAATTGTAGCTATTTACTTTAATTTAAAAAAATAAAAAAAAATCGTTGCATCGGCCGGGAATCGAACCCGGGCCGCCCGCGTGGCAGGCGAGCATTCTACCACTGAACCACCGATGCTTGCGGCAAACGAGTCCAAACGTAAATATATACTTCGGTGACGAAACTACTTAACTGCTTGAACTACAATTCACCACCAATGGGTTTGAGGTCAACTAATGATTCAGATCAGACTGATTAAAATTGATTAAATTATATAAATAGACTAATTTATACCTAAGCATAAGAAATACATATAAAACACAAGAAATACATATAAAACACAACTTATGTCAACATAAACTTTTAAAAAGCTATCGACTTGGTGCTTTTTTTATTTGCGCTTCATTTTCTTAAATAAACTTTTAAATGTGCAACATTCCTTAAAACTGCTTACTCTATAAATTTGAGCACACATCAATTCCGTTCTCACATGACAAATTTTGGTCCGGCAAAAAGACATTGAGTTCAAAGAGATATCCTGCTGGGATGTCTGCCCCCCGACCGCTTAGTCAGCACATCCGGTTGGGTTCTCACACATCGTAAGCAACTTGATGCTGTGGCGGCATCCGCTTTCTTATTTTGTGGCTCATTTTCCCTGCGGCCGCAATTTCCGCTAGATTGGCCGCCAAATGTGCGTTTGAACTGAGTTTACCACATGGAGCTTTTTCGAAACAAACTCACCACGCTGGGGGATTGTGCGCAAGTCGCAAAAGCTCTCGGCCCTACGACAACTTTGTCCGCTGTTGTTTTTGCTTTTGGGGGGTGGCTGGGTGGTTGAATGGGTGTCATGCAGGGGGTGGTGGGCGAAAGACTACTCTGCGAGTTGGCCAAGGCGTCGGCGGCTTCATTAACGGTTCGTCGCTGCTGGCAAACGGTTCTTCGCCTCCTCAAAAAATCCACCTGAAAAATAATTTTAAAAAAGTTACGATTTCGAAAAAGTTAATTCAAATAAATATTGAAATATGCTCATAAAACTTAAGATTAATAAATAGCCCAAATTAATACATAAAGTGTTTCTGTGTTTTCCTGTGAGAGTGGTTGTGATTACGAAAATTTCCAAACTAACATAAAAATTCGAAAATTCAAACTAAATATCGAAAATCAAACAAAGCAAATTGAATTATTGCCACGGCTGGAAATTCTGATTTAGGTGAGTTCAGCCTATAAATAATCTTGTGCTGTTCGATTACAAAATTCCGATTTGTTTATAAATAATTAAGAATGTATTTCGCCTAAGCCAGAACATCAATGAAATTGGGTTTCTCCCAGCCGACCCATTAAAGCCCGAACAGGTCTTTGGGGATCTTACTCATTCTCTGATCTCTGTTCCCAGGTGCTTACGTCTTGGGGAAAATGTTACTTAATTACAAAAATTAAATCATCACTCAGTGATTTATAAAATCTACGTCATTTTCTGGTGACCTGTTTCGCGGTTAAGACTGCAGTCCAATTAAGTCCAATAAAAAGATACTGACGTGTTAACTGGAATCAAGTTGATCAAAACGGCGCGCGCCTCCCTTTCCGAGAATTCATACTTGCTATTACTTAGAAATGTGCTTAGAACTGTTATATTCCTGGAAAGTAATTGCATTATTAGGGGTAAAAAGTGCCACCTTCCAGTTGCAGTTTGACGTTTAAATCCAAGTAATAATATTTCTTACGGAGAAAAAATGTTCAAATGTAAATCGTTGTTGTGTAATAATACAGTTACAATTTTTGCAGTGAACAAATTATGTTATAATCAGTCATAACTTGTAAGGTTAAAAAGAAAAAAATTCGCCTTAACTTAATATTAAAACCAATTAACTTTATTAAAAAACGGATTTGTGGTGTTATAAGGGAAACTAAATTGTGTATTATGTATGTATTTTTTGTTAGGAAAAAAGTACATACATTGTTAAACTTCTACAAAAATTTTAGAATTGATACATTTTTAAATTAAAAAAGATTTAATTATATTATTTGTTGTTCTCTGTTTTTCTATTAAACAATTAAAATATATTTGAATTATACCTTAAGTTTACAAAGATAGAAGAAATAACATTAAAACATACATTTTGATTGTAAGTGTTTTCCTATGTTTTTGTTGTTATAAACGGAATTTTATCTTTTACACACTACAATTTTTTAAAGTCCCAAAATTCACACTCTCATTTAAAAAAAAATCAATTTGACAAACTGTCTTGTTTTGAAAGATTAGCTCCGTCATTTGTTAAACAAACGTTTACCGCCATTAACCTGACCTTTGAACTATAAATGCTCATTCCTCGAAACTATGAAATAACATTTTCAGTTGAGAATTCAGTTCCAGTTTCAGTTCCAGTGAGAAATACCAATAAGTTCTAATCCCCACTCCTCCCACTTACTTCTCTTTCTTTACAAATCGCTGAGACATTAATTAATTAAAAGTGGTTTCCTATCAATGTTGTTGTTTTTCTGTGGCTGAGACTTGCCAATGTTGTTTTTTTTGTTTTGTAAAAGGCTAAAGAAAACAATACGGCCGAGTATCTCCATTTGTATCTGAATTACCTTAGCTTGTGAAATGATAGAGCCAGTGTCTCCAAGAGTTGGAATCAGACAACCTTGATATGGTCACAAAAAAGAAGCATACACTGAGAAAATACATCTAAAATTACATATTTTTTGAGTATTTAATCAAATTTAATACACATTTGAGAATTTTCAATTTTGAAAACATGTTAATATCTTGTTATAAACTTTATTTTAACATCAGTCATTTTAGATATTCGAGTTTAGAAATATAAATAAAGGTAACTGATGCCGATTTGATCCCTATTATTTTGACAGTGTAAAAAATGCAACAGCAACCACAGCCTCTTCACCGGCAACAAAAACTCCGCATTGCATGCGGAACTCCTGCAGTTACCAATTATGTAATTCGGCGAAGCAAAGTGACTGGGAACTGGAATGGCAACAATACCACTAAGTTCCCGAAATTTCCCCGCTCTGCGGAGTTGATGATCAATATTAAGCTCTCTCCGCGTTTTGCTCTCAGCAGATTTCCGCATGGGCAAACACCAAATCACATACGTTATAAGGCCCCAATTGAAAGTGATTGTGTGCGAGGGTTACAATTGTGTTTGGACGCAGAAATTACGTATACGTATATGTGTGAGGTGGTGATTCATCCGCGATTCGGGGAATCCAAAAGCCAAACAAGTGCCGCAAAACCAAAAACCAAGACAAGGCAGACAGACAGGTTTTTATTTCACCTTTACGTTTTCTTTTTGTATGTCACGCCAAAGTTTTGCCAGACCGAAGAGTATTTTCTTAACTCTCGAATAAGTTTATCAATATGAATACTTATTAAAACAAAAATGGAACCACACTAAAAAAATGTTTTCTTGCTCAAAATTTAAAATAAAATATAAACATTTTGGAATTGATTATTATTCTGTTTTTAAATCTGGTTTTATATCATTTTTTCAATGATCAAACGAAAATACCTCTTATCATAAAAATTTGATATCAAATGTTCTCATTCGGTAAGCGTGCCGAAAAGAAATAATAATAGCAAATATAACATTTTATATCGCGTTATTCCTTATATGGAAGTCCCAAAAATACTTTATCAGAATTCCTTATCAGAAAAACTCAGACTCTCTCTTTTTATGTTGTTTTGATGTTGAGCTTTGAGCTGTGACGTTTTGTTTATGATTTCGACGTTATAATTATTTACTGCTTGCTAATTTGGATACATTCATCTCCCCACGGGCCAATTAGAGTACACTTGTTTGGCAGAGGGAATCTTGAATTCGACGCAGTAAGTTCAGTCAGTTTTAATACTTCTTCTTTATCATGTGTCATGTTTTTGCTGCTGGGCAAACATCTCGAGTCCGTTGGTAATTTTGCTGCTCGTGTTATTGATACGATCCCCCTCCATTCGCTTCCTTTCCTTATCACCATTATTCTTTGGCCGACTGTCTTGAATGTTAATGCTCCGCGCGCTTGTTTATCTGCCTCTTTTGAGGGCGGCGGCGACCTTTTGGTTTGAATCTATTATTGCATGAATTATATTTTCACAGAAAAAAACAATTTTTTAATTATGTTTTTAATAAGTACTTTCAAAACTCTGATTAACGTTAATGAAAGTTTGAAATAATTGTTTTGTTTTCATTTGGTTTCCTTTCAAATGTTAAAAAGCACAATGTTCTTCTCCTTATTGAAAATCATTTTCAAGTTTATTGAATAGTATTATTATATTGAAATTGCTATTAAAAATACTTTAAAATAATAATATGTTTTTCTTCTTATTGAAATTAATGTGCGCGTTTATTGCATGTTAATTCATTGTGCAGAAATTTTAGTGTGCCTTTTTTTGTAGTATTTTTTCAAAGTGCAGAAATGTTGGCCTTAAACTGGCGCTGACTGAAGAGGAGCAATAAAAGCGGCAGCAACAACAAGTGGTTGCTCAACTATGCGCTCCACTGTTACGCCACCCCCAGCTCCCCGCCCCTCCCTCCGATTTCTTTGGGGCTTGGCTTCGTTTGTCTGCAGTCTCTCTTTCTCTTTTTCTCTGCTTCACTGTCCCGCTTCAGCGTGTGACCTTGAAGCACACATGTGCCAGAATTGCAGGGGGTCTCGTTTGGGTGGAGAAGGGGATCGGGATTATTCGCTGTGTCTTTGACTTCTTCTTTTTTTTCTCTTCTTAACAAGCTTAATAAAGAGTTCGAGATTTACGTGACGTGTGCTCTGTTTTGGAGTCGCTTCTACGTCATGGGTTATTTACCATGTATTGAATATTGAGTATGTGGACGATCGCCATTGAATCATTTCATATTCTTTGTCCAGTGGAGCATTAGAAAAACGGCATTGTCATCTTAGAAAAACAAATTTTATCTCTTTTATATTTTTTGGAATTAAGTAAGGCATTTAAGAGTTTATTTCTTTTGAATTCAAATATTTACTATCAGCTTTGATCAACCTGGTGAAGTTATAAATAATATACTATTTATTAAGGGAATATTAAGCCATTTAAAAATTATAAATAAAATAGTTTCTGTTGCTCTTGGACTATATAAGCCCCATATTTATTGCAAGTCATCAGGTATTCTAAATTTTGTTGTTATCCCATATAGACGTAAATCATGGCCGGTAAATTGGCTCACAAAATGCATTTGGGGTCCAGACCTACCCACGCGGCATGGAAACTTTGTTTTTAGTTCAGAATTCTGTGGGCCAACAGAAATAAATTTTACTATTTTCATTCAAGCGAAACAATAATGAAATATTTCTGCCCGATTGGCAATGCTAACTGAAAATATTTTCCCTCTATGCCTTTGCGCTGCACTTGTGTTTATTTAAATGACTAAAATCTGTCGATGGAACAGAAGCCAAAAATTGAGTTAATAACTCAGTTTGACCTTAGACGTTAGCGGATCTTTTTTTCTGTCTTCTTGGGGAATTTTGCTTGCGCGAATTAGCAACGTTATACGGATTTTATAATTTACTTTAGCCGAGGGTCGAGCTAGTTTCAGGTCTGTCAATTCCTGGGAAAATCAATAAAAGCATTCAGCTGTCATACCTATATTTAATAAATAGACCTATTGTTATGCAAATGTCGAATATCGAATATGTGTTTTTCATAGCCTAGAATTCAACAATGAATCATTTTTAGTCCTCATCTGTTCTTATCTTTTGTGAATCTCTTTGATGTTGACTTGTCTGAAATCATGTTCATTCTTAAAATATTTAAAGTCTTCTTAGTATTTTTAACGCTACTTTAATGAGAAAAGAGTTCATCTGAAATAACATTTCTAAATTTTTATGGTATATCCGAACCATTTATATCAATAAATTTTCATTCCGTGCAAAAAATTCACATTTTTTTGAAAGGAATCAATGTTTATTTATGGCCGAAAATCGAAATTGGAACACCTGCAGAGCGTTATAAAAATCTCAACACTTTTCCAAATCCACTTAAAAATCTATAACAGTTTTTTGCGCCCGGTTACGTCATACAAACGTACTCGAAAAAGAATTGAAAAAAGAAAACAAACGGTGGAATACACAAAACGGAAACAACAATAAATAAATGAAAAGTGAAGCACGGCTGAAACCGAAAACAAAATTGGGAGCCACCCGCGATCGTCATATCGGCGATAGTTCATGTTTATCAAGCATACGTATCAAGCATACGTATCAAGTATACGTACCGAGTGCAGGCGATCGCAAAGAGCGTAGAGTTGAGAGCAGAGCCCAAACAACCGAAGCTCTCTTGCAGTCGATTGTGAGCCGTACCGCTCAGTTTCAATCTGAACTTGCCCGCCGACGGACGCGATCGAACCTCCAACTTAGGCACATATATGTACATATAATATAACGTATATTGTGCAAGTCGCACGCGACTATATAGATGCCAGTGTGTTGGTTAATTATACATAACTACAAAGTGAACTACAGATGTGTGTATAAATCAATGTCCGCTCTTAACAGGCGGCTGCAGTGCCAATAACAAATTAAAATAAAATATACTAGTATACCTAAGCAACTACGGCGTTTGCTGGGGCAACTTTTGTTTTTGTATTCCATTTTTTCACCATTTTTGGCGCGCCTTTTGTGAGTGAACCGCGCGCGCGATAAGTCAGACAAACAAACAAACAAAAAAACAAGAGAATCATAAAAAACAAATTTAATCAATTACACGTGCCGACAAAACAAAGAGATAATTTGATTATTGTCTCGACAAGTGCATTCGGATCAAAACACAAAATTCAATCATAAAGTAAAAGATTTTTTTGCAGCTTACCATTCCTTAAAAGGTTAGAATTAATAAATTTGCTAAAAACAAAATCAGCTTTTTTATGGCGCAGTTTGAAAAGTCCCTCTGCCTATTAGTCGTCGTTAGAAACGTAGATACAGACAGCTTCCCGTATCAACTTCGATTGCAATGACACTGCAAGAAATCGACAAACAAACAGCTCATTACAATTCATAAATTATAATACCAGATACATAAATAAATAAACTTTTTTGATGCGGGCAATTAATTATCTAAATGCCACGTGTAATGAAAATTGTATTTATAAATATTAAATTAAAAGATAGAAAACTTGCATGTTGAGCTAGATTGTGCTGTATGTATAAGCTAGTACTTTGTTGATAAAATCTTTACAAATACTGTCTTATAATTATTTTACTGGTTTATGTGTTTTAAATGGATTATTTCATAATATTGCTGTTTAAATTGGAATTTTGTATAATTCATTACTTTTTATTATTTTGACTTCCTGTTGTTTTATAAACTTAAACTTCTTAAATGACACGCAAACTGAACATTTTTAAAAACTGATAATAAAAAAGTATATAATACATATAAATAAATAAATTGCAGTAAGGTCTACATATATTAATGATCATAGTTATGTACAATAAATGAGAATATAATTTATGAGTAGCTCAATTTGAAGAAAATTCTTAGAAAAACAATTAAATCAAAATAAAATATAATATAGTTGATTCTTAGATAATATTTTGTTGATTAATAAACTATTTTTGCTAGTGTAGTCAAAGTATTCCAGTTCAACAGAAGTGTAATATATGCTAATAAATCTCCCAACAATGAAGGAGGTTGACTGAGATTTACAAAACACAAGTATAATACTTAGTTGGTATTTAATAGTAAAGCAAGTGTTGTTTTCCTGTTTGATTGCCGATTGCGAAAATCAATTTACATACTGGTTCAGATTTCGTAGCTCTTTGTGCATAGCATATGCCGGAACTGCTCCCTAGAGTAGACATTTCCTCTTAAATGTAATAATCCAAAGAAATATAAGCTTAATAAATCTTATCTCAAAAAAGTTTTGCTGATTGCCTTGAGATGTGTAATATACATTATATATCTACAAGTGAACATTTTGAGCTTATGGACGATAAGTATTACGGGCAAACGAAATTGAGTAAAAATGTTTAGTATTTAATGTTTGGCTACATTATCTTTCATTTCTTATCACCAATGGAGATCGGTTCAAGGGGAAAATATTTACTTAGCAACAGGATCCACAACGACCAAGATTTCAATATGCGAAATAAACCTCGCCAAATGCAAATATTTATATTAACGAAATGTAAATATGTTTACAAGTGAAATCGGCGTGGAAAAAAGTTTATAAAAATGTGCTGCGGCATCTGGAAGATTTCGTTTATTTCATTTGTAATCAAAGGAATATACAACCTGAACGGGCAACTGGAACTGCAATCGAAAGACACGAAATGCCGTAAAGTCTTAAAGACTTTTGCCATATCCGCACGCACACAGCCGGACGGTCGGGTGGTCAGGCAGTTGGATCCCATAAAAATAGAACGAAATGGAACAGTCATGGTCAAAACTTACTTAAATATCGATTTATCTGTGCCCAGCCAGAAGCTATCTAACTTGTATTCCCCGGGCATGAACTGGGCGATGAACCGATGGCCCAAAGGCAGCGGAATTGTTTTCGGTAATTGTTGAAAGCAAAACACAAACAAAATCCACACTTTTCACACCTTTCGGTCAATGTGTGTGGGTTTGCTTACATACAATATGAAGTCACAGCCATGCATATAGCTATAACTTTGCCATTTGTATTAAGCAGACTTGTTTCCGATTGAAAGTTATTGCAAATTAAATGGCAACGGCAGCAGGAAGGTCGCAGGTTTAAACACTTGTGCATTGATCAAAGGGTGCGGCTTTTGAAATTATATTCTGAAAGAATAGGTCATTTTTAAATTAGAAATTAGAGCTGTCGAAGGATTTTGATTCTACCTAGGTTAGCAGGAAAGACATTGAACTTTTATAATTAAATCTTTATTAAATTAAACAGTAATAATTCCATACAAGTAAACCAAAATCAAAGGGTTCAATTGATTGGCTAGAAAAGGTTTGGTTTATCTCACATATAATACAATATAATATTATTATTTCTTACTCTTAAAACAATACATACATTAATACAAATATTTACCAAAAAATAATAAACATAAAAAAACATTTAAAAAATTCAAATCAAAAGATTGCTTTAATAATTAAAAGCTTACTTTGAAAAATAATGCAATCAACTGATAAAGCTGCAACTGTAATCAGCAAGTGAAAATCCCCGGTCGATTTTATATTTTACGAGTCTGTGTGATAACCTCTCGCAAGAATTAATATGTACTCTAATTTCTAATTTTTGTTTGCTTTTTCCGCATGAACAAAAACCAAGCGAACTTTACATTGATCTGTCATTCACATTTACACCCCCACTCTAAGACCAAGTTTCACAAACATTTCAAACCACCCCGTGCAATTTTCACAAACAATGGAAAAGCAGAATCCCATTACGCATACGCCATGTTGTACTGAATCTAAATTGATTGAATACGCCATGTTGTACTGAATCTAAATTGATTGAATCGTGAAAAGTTTTATAGCAAAATAATTAAATGCTGCGGTTTCTACCAATTTTCGGTCATCGCGTGTCGGTCGTTTTTCTTGGCTGAAATCGAATGTGTGTGCGAGCGTTTTGTCTTGGCCATTAGAATGGAAATTGTTCCAACGCTTGGCTAAATGAGGTCTGGTGCGGTTCACTGTGGTGTGGTGTGATTCGACATTCTGGGAATGCTTTGGGTTGCTAAAGCATTATTTACTTGACTGCAAAAATGGTTCCTTTGATTTGCTTGAAATACCATGAAAATCGATTGGCTGTACTTTAACTTTTGGCTGCTGAAATGAATGACGAGCGAGGCCCAGCCAAATGTAACTGTATTAATTACTTTTTAATTAGTTTAGTACACTAACAGTACTCAGGTGCCACGGCACACCAAACCAACACAATATTTGGCAAAGTGGCAACAATTTGAACGACTTTTTATTGTCGCCATTATAAAAAATGAACACAGCGTTTAAGTATATTTCGTGTTTATGGTTTTTGGTCTCTTGTGTCACTCACTCAGGTTATCGCAAAGTTTACTTCTAGTCACATTTAAACCACATCACTTAGTTGCAATGTCGATTATAATTAGCTTGGTAGCTCCTGTTGGGATTACCCATTGTAGAAAATCTTATCCAAATCGCCTAAGCCACTGAGGCCACGTGCCTTTATTTGAGCAGCTCGCACTGTACAAATAAAATAACAATTCTTGGCACGAAAATGTTGCAGCAATCACAAAATTTCATTATACTTGAGTTTTGAATAACGAAAAAATAAAAGATGATTAAATTATGAGCGGAACAGGAAATAGCCAATATGATTTATTTTCGAGAAATAGCAGAGTTGCCTAAAACTATCATGCATAAAATGGTAGACTTATATTCTGTTAAACAACTTCAATATATAGAAATTAAATATACCCTTAAATTAAATTATTTAGTATTCGTTGTATACTTGCAAACTTTCTAGTTTCTAATTCGAGTTGTTTTCCAACTCGGGATCAACTATTAAATCAATGAGTTTTACAAAATATTTTGACACCTGAGTAAGTGCAATATAAATAGTATACCCCAACAATATTTTGTTTGTGTTAGCAACTAATTCAATCGATTGTGACCTCAGCAAACTTTGGATCGAGGAGTAAACAAACATTAGTTATTTATATATGCAGTGCATATAGAGAGCCAAATGGATTTCCTGCAAATGACAGCGGGGGCATGGCTCGGTGAAGGACACAGTCGAAGAACTAGAGGAAAATCATAATTTTCAACGCCTATTGATTTTCCGGGGCAGAGTTTCACATCGCCTGAGACGAATTATTTTTCACTTTTGGCGACAGGCGGAATTCGTTGAGAAAAACTTTTTATTTGAATTTAATTTTTGTGCAGATAGGCAACTGGCAGGATTCAGGAAACTGGCAGGACCAGGCACGCACACATGTCAGCTTAAGCACTTGAGGTGCCAAATGGGAAAATGTGGGGATGGATTGGGGCCAGTTGTCTGTGTTTGATGTACAAATTTTTGTGTGTGCGACTGGGTGTGATTAGGCCATCAGTGGGTGTATGTGTGTATGAGCTTCTAGCCGTTCCATCTCATCATATTCTGCCATCATTCCCCCACCGCATCCCATTCCATTATTTTCTTCTATTTAGCTGTGTGTTTATTTTCGGTTCAGAACGCGATTTTCCAATCGATTGGGCCCGTGACAAGGTTCCAGCTACTGAAATATGTATGTTAGTCACACGGCCATCATTACTCTTGAATATAGAGACGATTCAGGACCCTAGCCTAGCGTAATTCAAAACCCACATCTTCATTGCTAATGCCGTCTATTTTTGACAATATTTAATTAACATTTTTCTTTTACCTTACTCACATTTTATTCTGCCAGCGACATCCTTTTCCGTTTGCTTTATTTACGCATCAATTTGTAGCTCTGATTTATGTCGCCAGAATTTTTAAAACCCTCCTTCAACTCCGCCCAGCTTTCTCAAGCCTAAATGCGAATTAAATTGGTTCGAGGCGTTTTTTTTCTTCTGTTTTAGAGTTGGTAGCCCGGTCTGTCTTTAAGTATTATTCAGCTTAAGTTATGCCGGATTCGAGGAGCTCCGGCAGAGAAAACAACTTGGGGCTAGACAAGAAAAATGGTGGGGGAAAGTCCTGAAGAAGTGGAGGGACTATGGAGATGAACCAAGCAATTACGCGCTTTAGAAAGCTCTTTGCGTTTGGGGCACTTAATGAAATCTACAAAATTAAACCACAGAGCCATGGAAAATGCGAATAGAATATTGATACGAGTTGAACCGAAATGCTTTTATTTCCTGAAGTTAAATTAAAATTACAATGAATCCGAAAAATATTTAAATATTTGAATTTCTACACAAAAAATAAGTTTTCTTCTAATATTATTTCTTTTGTTACATTTTCTTCAGTGGTTTTATGCTTTCTAAAACGAAACCATTTTCATTCTAATTCCATTTCTATAAAAACAAAAATGGTAACCAAAGAGGGATTAAAAAAAGTTCTCATTCAAAAGTTTCCATTAGATTAAGACAAAAATAATTTTCACTCAGACAGCAAACCGCTTTTCACCAACATTTCGTAAAAGGGCTAATTGACATTCTTAAAATTCTATATTTGTATATTTTGCTTGGGATTTAAGTCAATTAGCGTCTCCATTAGACTGATGTGCTATTTTAAGAACATTTTGCCCTTAGGACACTAATGACTGTCAGGATTAAAGAGTGGAAAGGCTTAAGCAAATGTATTCATTTTCATTTTGACTTATTTAAATGTATTTTAAAAGGTCTATGTATGTATAAAATATTTAAAAGCATATTTTCCTTTAAGAAAATGGTTAACGAAGTTGCTTGGCAACTGAGATAGTTAGGTAGCTTTATTTATTTTTTGTGTGTGTCACACTTGAGTTGCTTTATTATTTATGCCCATGAGCAGGACAATCGATACGGTTCAACTTTTTGCTACCCCCTTGCATAAAAATTTAAACGTTGCCGCAGTAATGACCGCTTTCACCCCTCCGCCAGGATATCCTTAATGCCCGTCCTGTTGCTTAATGTGTGTGTGGGTGTGTGTAATTCTGTGTGTAAGAGAGATTAGCGGGTTAAGGGAAAGCGATGCTGCTGTCAGAGACAGTTAAGCCGCAGCTAGCGGCACCAACTTAAAAGTTTCCTGATGTCATTGGGCCCCATGTCGACTCCTACACTTCAAAAAAAATGATGTGATTTCTAAAAAAACATATTTATACCCGTTACTCGTAGAGTAAAAGGGTATATTGTATTCGTGCAAAAGTATGTAACAGCTAGAAGGAAGCGTTTCCGACCCTATAAAGTATATATATTCTTGATCAGGGTCACTAGCCGAGTCGATATAGCCATGTCCGTCTGTCCGTCTGTCTGTTCGTCTGTCCGTCTGTCTGTCTGTCTGTCTGTCCGTATGAACGCTGAGATCTCGGAAACTATAAAAGCTAGAAGATTGGCATTTTGCATGCAGATTCTATGAGTTCCTACGCAGCGCAAGTTTGTTTCAAAAAGGTGCCACGCCCCCTTTAACGCCCACAATCGCATATATACGATTTTAAAAATTTAAATATTTCGGAAAAGTAAAAATGCAGTTTTATTGTGTTTATCAATACCTATCGAAATGTAGAAGAAAATTTTCAAATCGGACCATTCGTTAAAAAGTTATGCGTGATCAAAGTTTCTATCTCCATCTCCCTCGCACTCCCTTTACCTGAGTAACGGGTATCTGATAGTCGGGGACCCGACTATAGCGTTCTCACTTGTTTTTAATTACGCAAAAACAATGGTTAGTGTCAACATTTTTTATGGCTCTTAGGATTTAAAAAAATCGTAATCATATACAGCAGTATAAAAAGAACATAATAAATATTAAATGCGAGAAACTATTCATTGTTTAAATAATGATTGGCTTATAAAAGGAAATGTTATTTGATTTAAGAAAACTTGAACTTCTAAGTTTTGCCAAGCCAATAAAAAAAAAAGTACTTTAAAATTTGTTAATTTCTTTTAAATGTTTTGAAAGTGTTAGTATGAAGAAAGGAACATATTTATTTGCTGATTAATGTACTAAATGTTTCGTTATGCAAGTGTTTTTTTCGGTGGCCATTGCTGCGAGCAAATCGACCCACATTTACTTATTACACAGTTCAGATGTTCGACACACGTGGAGGGGGGTTGGTCGTTTCGGGTGGGGAGGAGCGTTTAAAAAAGTGGGTTCCGGGGGTGTAGAGGGGTAGCCCCATAAAGCGTCATGCGGTTCGTAAACAAAACCGTAGGATCTGTCTTCACTAGGTCAGTGTGAGTTTAAGCAAGTGGTGTGAATTGCAAAAGAACCAAAACAAAAAAAAAATACAATAACAGGAACAACAACAGCAAATCCAATGGCGGACAAATTGTTTTTGCAAGGCTATAAATGTAAACAAAATTAACATATGCAAATTTTTCAAGCCCCCACGTGTGTGAGAATGTCTCTGAATAAGCGATTATATTCGTGCGTGCACAGCAACAAAAAAAATCACTGATTTGACATTGCAAATAATAATAATAAAAGTTACAATATTAAATTTTTTCATAACACTTTTTATTAATATATATCTAATGCTCTTTTTAAAACTTGCATATATTTTACATACATGAACTGAAAAGGTTAATTATAAATTATTATCAAATTTGAATTTAAAAAACAGTCCTTGTATTTTTTATAGTAATGCAACGTTAATAACTGACAATATGTATGCTCAAACAAAATCCTTTAGCCCTTGTGATTAAAATATCGTTCGAATTTGGTTGAATAAAAATAACTAAGAACCACTTAATATATTTTTCTGTGCAGTGTTTGTGAGTTTAACGCCAACGTTTGGCATTTAGACAAATGGGCTTTCTGAAGCCAAGACTTTCTGCTAGATTTTATCTCTCAGTGCTCGAGAGTGTGTGTGTGCTCTCCTTTTGTTGAAAAGTTGAGTTATGTGCAGAAAATGCAAAATACTTTCGGCATATGCTGACTGCAGTTGCGGAAAAGAGAGGAAAATTGAGAAAATGTGGCACAAGGAGTGACTTGTTTGGCCTTTTTATGGCTACGACTATTAAATACACATTACCCAGACATTGTTATTATCCCTTACAAGCGACTAACAATGATAACCTTGATCGATTTGGCAGTAGCCGGTATTTGAATACTTATATAACGAATAAAGGAAGAAGACTGACGCAAAGGAAATCGTTAAGTAAAGCCATATGTTTGAATTTTTTATAAGGGTAAAGCAGATAAATAAAGACAATGTGTTTAACAAGGACTCTGAGCTTACATGGACTATACAAATATTTACAGCAATTTATCATTTTAAAATGCTATTACATGGATTTGTATTATAATTTATTCTGTGTAAAACGAATACTGATAAAAATTGTACAAACATAAGAAGAGAAATTAGAGAACTTACAATAATTCTTATTAATTATAGTTTTTTATCAATTACTTAATTTTTTTAAAATTTGATTTATTTGTCCATGGAATTAAAGAACAAAATTGCTTAGGTAGAAACAGAGACATGTACTTAACACCTACTTAGTTCTGTAAATTGCTGATAAGGAAGGTGTATACCCATTGATAACCCTATCACAAAAATGGCATTCAATGAATGGTTGAGAGATTCCCCAGAAACACTAAACCGCAACGGACTTCCTAATCAGTATTATTTTGGGAAACAAAAAATCACATAGATTGGAAATGGGGTTTTCTACTTTGTAAATCAGATCATGATCGGATTCCTATTATCCCCCCGTACTTTGGGCTCTTGTGAAATAATTGGGAGTTTACCAACCTCAATAAACTTTAAGTTAGTACTTATTAGTGCAAGTGGAAGGAACGGAACTTAGATTAGGTACCTAATCTTAATAGCGTCACAACTGTATTTTTCCCATTTTAATGGATTGAAATTAATTCAAGTGATCATAGAGATAATTAAAAATAATAATTATAAGCCATATATGTCTATATATTGATTTATTTATTTGTATATATGTCAGTAATTAGGCACTTTTAAATACCTATTATATTTTTAATCAAACAATGAAAATCTAGTCCGTGTACCCTTGAATGTTGCTGTAATTACGGATGTGCTAAGTTTTTATTTTAAAATTGTATAAGACAGTTTATATTTTTACTGCTTATAAAAAATTCAAAAACATTGGTGATTGAGTACGTCAAGTTGTTAAAATCCATCAATATAATTTACAAAAAAATGAACAAGCTAAAAAACATTAATGTATCATTGTCTACATTAGCTATATATGAAAAGTTTTTGACGATCTATCATTGCTTTTATTTCCAGGCAATCAACTGTGTAATCCAATGACTGAGGAGGAGGATTTCGTCGCTTTACGTATGTATAAACAGCCATTAATTTATGGCACATACTAACCCCAATTAATATTAACATAGTCCAAAAACCAAAACCCCCCTTTAGTCCATGCCTTGATGAAAAAAGAGCTAGGGCTCGGGTAAATGAATAATCTGTGGGCATAAGTCAATCGACAATGCGCTTAATTAGGCCAGGCACAGAGCATCAGATTTGTGGGGAATTTTTAGTGGCTAATTGAACATTGTTATTGCTCTTGCCACGAGCTATAGACGTTGGTGTTGCTGTTGCCATCCGAACAAAACGCCAGCAGCAACAACAAATGTCGGAGAAAAGTGGCATAATAAGTCTGGCAAATTGCTGCGCATCTTTTTGACGTCAGAACTCGTCATTGCATAGTCGACATCTGGCAATAACAAAGTTCAAATGAAATTGAAGGAGGAAGCCGTCACCCTTTTGCAAAAAACAATGGCAACCTAATGCCTTCAATATATGCATAATAGTTGGTGCGTATCTGATGGATACAAAAGTATTGACACACACGAACTTTACCATTTTCATTTTACTGGGTAATTTATGTAATATTGGATAGGTGAATTTCATTTTTTGTGAAATTATTCAGGTGGGAGTTACAACCAATGTTGTCACTTTAAGTAAATGTGAATATTTATACTATTCATAAATAGTTTTTATACCCTTGCAGAGGGTATTATAATTTTGGTCAAAAGTGTGCAACGCAGTGAAGGAGACATCTCCGACCCTATAAAGTATATATATTCTTGATCAGGATCACCTCCTGAGTTGATATAGCCATGTCCGTCTGTCCGTCTGTCCGTCTGTCTGTCCGTCTGTCTGTTTCTACGCGAACTAGTCTCTCAGTTTTAAAGATATCGAATTGAAACTTTGCACACACCCTTCTTTCCTTTGCACGCAGTATATAAGTCGGAACGGCCGGGATCGGCCGACTATATCCTATAGCTGCCATATAACTGATTGATCGGAAATGCCATAACTTTGGTGTTTGTAAAGTTGGGAAGTTGGGATTTTCAATGGGTTTTATATTTGGCCAATTAATCCGACCTACCAAATTTCATAAGGATCGGCCGACTATATCCTATAGCTGCTATATAACTGATTGATCGGAAATGCCATAACTTTGGTGTTTGTAAAGTTGGGAAGTTGGGACTCTCTATGGGTATTATATTTGGCCAATCAATCCGACATACCAAATTTCATAAGGATCGGCCGGCTATATCCTATAGCTGCTATATAACTGATTGATCGGAAATGCCATAACTTTGGTGTTTGTAAAGTTGGGAAGTTGGGATTTTCAATGGGTTTTATATTTAGCCAATTAATCCGACCTACCAAATTTCATAAGGATCGGCCGACTATATCCTATAGCTGCTATATAACTGATTGATCGGAAATGCCATAACTTTGGTGTTTGTAAAGTTGGGAAGTTGGGATTTTCTATGGGTTTTATATTTGGCCAATTAATCCGACCTACCAAATTTCATAAGGATCGGCCGACTATATTCTATAGCTGCCATATACATAACTGAACGATTGAAAATGCCATAACTTTGGTGTTTTTAAAGTTAGGAAGTTGGTATTTTTTATGAGTATTAAGAATGCATCATATGAATAATTTTGGGGAATATAATTTGCAGAATATTCTGCAAGGGTATTTCAACTTCGGCTCCGCCCGAAGTTAGCTTTCCTTTCTTGTTTTTTTGTATCCTTAGTAGATCTTTTAAATATATTAAATGAAATATTAAACAAGAAAGGAAAGCTAACTTCGGGCGGAGCCGAAGTTGATATACCCTTGCAGAATACTCTGTAAATTATATTCTCCAAAATTATTCATATGATGCATTCTTAATACTCATAAAAAATCCGAACTTCCTAACTTTACAAACACCAAAGTTATGGCATTTCCGATCAATCAGTTATATGGCAGCTATAGGATATAGTCGGCCGATCCTTACGAAATTTGGTAGGTCGGATTGATTGGCCAAATATAAAACCCATAGAAAATCCCAACTTCCTAACTTAACAAACACTAAAGTTATGGCATTTCCGATCAATCAGTTATATAGCAGCTATAGGATATAGTCGGCCGATCCTTATGAAATTTGCTACGTCGGATTGATTGGCCAAATATAAAACCCATAGAAAGTCCCAACTTCCTAACTTAACAAACAGCAGAGTTATGGCATTTCCGATCAATCAGTTATATAGCAGCTATAGGATATAGTCGGCCGATCCTTATGAAATTTGGTACGTCGGATTGATTGGCCAAATATAAAACCCATAGAAAGTCCCAACTTCCTAACTTAACAAACAGCAGAGTTATGGCATTTCCGATCAATCAGTTATATGGCAGCTATAGGATATAGTCGGCCGATCCCGGCCGTTCCGACTTATATACTGCGTGCAAAGGAAAGAAGGGTGTGTGCAAAGTTTCAACTCGATAGCTTTAAAACTGAGAGACTAGTTTGCGTAGAAACAGACAGACGGACAGACGGACAGACGGACAGACGGACATGGCTATATCAACTCAGGAGGTGATCCTGATCAAGAATATATATACTTTATAGGGTCGGAGATGTCTCCTTCACTGCGTTGCACACTTTTGACCAAAATTATAATACCCTCTGCAAGGGTATAAAAATAAAACCTATAGAAAATCTCAACTTCCTAGCTTTACAAACACCAAAGTTATGGCATTTCCGATCGTTCAGTTATATGACAGCTATAGGATATAGTCGTCCGATCCCGGCCGTTCCGACTTATATACTGCGTGCAAAGGAAAGAAGGGTGTGTGCAAAGTTTCAATTCGATATCTTTAAAACTGAGAGACTAGTTCGCGTAGAAACAGACAGACGGACAGACAGACGGACAGACGGACAGACGGACATGGCTATATCAACTCAGGAGGTGATCCTGATCAAGAATATATATACTTTATAGGGTCGGAGATGTCTCCTTCACTGCGTTGCACACTTTTGACCAAAATTATAATACCCTCTGCAAGGGTATAATAAAACTTGTGATAATTGCAATAGCGCGATCTCCTGTAATATCTTTAATTTATAAAATGAGCCTTTACCTTTAGATATTAAATACTTGTTATTTTCACAAGCCTGTCAGTTTAGCTACTTCCATAACTGTCAGAGGAAATGTGTACGCATGGGTACTCCATTTAATCTTCGATGGTATTTTTAGCTTCCTTTCCTAGTTTCCTTCCATAACCTAAGCTAAATTGTTTCTGGCACTCTGACTTATTGATTTTTGTGAAATACTTACATTCCCCAGAGGAAATTATCAATGCCAGCATGGAGTTGAACGGTGGCGCCACCGGAGGAGGCAGAGTGGGCGGAGCTGGAGGTGGGGGCGCGGTCGGTGGCGCGGTCGGTGGCGCAGTCGGTGGCGGGCAACAGCACATATTATCGCAGTCGACTTCTTTGCCGGTAATGCCGTCGCACCTGCCACTCCACCTGCAGAACCAAAGCCAAACCAAGAACCTGAATCCGAATCAGCCGAGGCCAAGTGCCAAGACTGAACCCCACTTGCGTATCGTGGAGGAGCCGACGAACAATATAATCCGCTTTCGCTACAAGTGCGAGGGTCGCACCGCCGGCTCGATTCCGGGCATGAACTCCAGTCCGGAAAATGGCAAGACCTTCCCCACCGTCGAGGTGTGTAACTATGACGGGCCCGTCACCATCGTGGTGTCCTGCGTGACCAGCGAGAAGCCCTATCGCCAGCATCCCCACTGGCTGGTCAGCAAGGAGGAGGCGGATGCCTGCAAGTCGGGCTATTACCGCAAGCATCTGAAGCCCGGGGAGCGACGGCTGGTGCTCCAGAAAGTGGGCATCCAGTGCGCCAAGAAGCTGGAGATGCGCGACTCCCTGGTGGAGCGGGAACGGAAGAACATCGATCCCTTTGGCGGTGAGTCCTGCTAAAAAAAAAAATAATAATTATTACAAAAACATCTTTTAGTTCAACAAATAGTTTTTGTAAATTACATTTTTCCAGATTTCATTATTTTAGTCCGATTGTGAGTTTGCAATTGTGGGTCTCCGCAAGAACTATTTATTTTTTTTATATTCAAAATATTTTATTTGATTTCTCTCCATAAAAACAATTCCAAACCAATTTCAACTTAATTGCAAGTAATTCATTTGGAAAAGTGAAAACCCCAATGGAAATATTCATATTTGAATTCTATGACCTCTAATTTTCTGAGTCTTTATAGGGTTTTAAATTGTCTGAGTGTATAATCAAATCCTATACTTTGTATAATTTTTTGTTCAGCCAAATTCGATCACAAGGATCAGGTCGACAAGATCAATCGGTATGAGTTGCGCCTCTGCTACCAGGCCCTCTTCAAAGTGGGCGAAACCTGGATGGCCTTTGAACCCATCGTATCCTCCCCGATTTACGGCAAGAGCAACGAGCTGACCATCACCCGGCTGTGCAGCTGCTCCGCCCAGGTGACCGGCGGCAATGAGATCATGATGCTGTGCGAGAAGATCGCCAAGGACGACATCGAGGTGCGGTTCTACGAGACGGACAGGGACGGACGGGAGACGTGGTTCGCCAACGCCGAGTTCCAGCCCACGGACGTATTCAAGCAGATGGCCATCACCTTCAAGACTCCGCGCTACAAGAACACCGAAATCACGCATAGTGTCAATGTGAGTGGCAGCCTGAAGTTTTGTTTACCCTCTCTTATATGATAAATAATTATAAAACAGGAAGTTGGCCCAAAGCTAAAAATAAATTTTAACATTTTATATATATTTTTATGGCTTATCTGTATTATTCAGTTCAAGCTTGACTAAAATGGCATGTCGAGTGGCAATTTAAAGCCGGCAAATAGTAACAGCGTACATATATCATATATATATGACGGAAGTTTCATAGTACTTTATTTATACAAATGCTTATTTTTAGAACTGTTAGCGTATCAAAATATATGTTAGACATGTCAAGTAAGAATTAGATAAAGAAATTAGGACCTTTACTATTTTAAAATATAAATATGAAAATTGATATTGCACCATATGTTAGAAACGCTTTTTACTTTGATATAAGGTTTTGTCAAACTTTTTAAGTCCATCACAGACAGGAGAAAATATATTTTGGAAATGTATTCACTCTTTTAATTTCGATCAATTTAATATAACCATAGTTTTTTGTACTTAAATAATGTCAATAAGCAAAAAAGGGATATTAAAAGTATTTAAATAAAACAGTAGGAAATCTTTTAATACGAAAAGTTATAACTCTTTTGTTTTCGATGGCTAAAAGGTATCCAAAGTTTATTGTTAACTCAGAATTGTTAACAATGAACTAAGAGGAAATGTTTAAGATACAATTTTAAATGTGTTTATTGATAGTAACCCTTATTGTTCGTTCCTTTCAGGTGGAGCTGAAGCTGGTGCGACCCTCAGATGGAGCGACGAGTGCCCCGCTGCCGTTCGAGTTCTACCCGAATCCAGGTACGGTATCCTTTGCCCGGCTGCAGCGAAGGCTGAAGCGCCGTCAGGAGCTGGACGTGTTCCAGCAGATCCTTTCTCTCGACAGCGAAACCACGGCCACGAAATACTCGTGCCCACCGATGGAATTGGAGGAGGACAACAATACGGTTTCGTCCGACGATCAGCAGAGTTCCGGAACTCTTAATGAATTTGAGATAGCGGTGAAGAAGATGCAGATGCGTCAACGGGGTGAATCACACGAAATGGATGGTGGCACCGTCACTGAGTACACGGATAACGATAACGAACCGGACATGGAAATTGAGCTGGAGGTGCCGCAACTGTTGCCCCAACTGGCGGACGACTGCACCCAGACGTCCACGCCCATGGATGAGATCCTGCAGCATCCGCAGCTGCAATCGCGACCTCTAACCAATGTGGACAAAATCACCGAGTGGATGAAGAGCAGCGAGTTTGAGCGAACGGATAGCCTGACGGTTGAGAATGGGGATACCCAATCCCTATCGAATAGCACGGCCCAAACAGCCTTTACCAATGTCAGCAGTTTGACTGCCAATACGACCATAACGAACCAGTTGGAGGAGGAGGCCCACGCACATTTGGCCAATGGTTCTCGCAGGGATACCCTCGAGAATCCCGCCGTGAAAGAGCTGCCGGATAACGAAAAGGAACCGGAAATGGCCTCAGCCAGTGCCCAGGCCTCCGTGGACTTGGATGAGAACTTCGATGAGACGGCCACGTATACGAGCCTGCAGATAGCTTTCAATAATCCCATCAAAATAGGGTTACCCAAAGAGAACAAACAGGGTGTCCAGATTTATCCACCCACAAATCCGTTTGGTCAGTTAGATGATGCCGAGCTGGTGGTTCTAACGAATCCGCCAGCTCCGCGTATAAAAGTAAATGCTGTCCAAACACCAGCCACGCCCCCCCATTCACCGCCCCTGCCGCTGCCACCACGAACTCCTTCACCCGTTTCGGACCAAAGATTACCTCCCTTGCCACCGAAACCGCATCGAAACTCCCAGGACTTGAGCATTGTCAGTGATTCGATCTCTGTTAGCCGCTCGAGAAATGGCAGTCTTAGTTCCAATAGAACCACACCATCGCCAATCATTATAATGCGGACCCCCGATCAAAGTCCCACCAAAAGGCAACCCACGCCAAGTGGTTCGCCCAAGAAGCGTCAGGGATTCTTCTCGAGATTCTTCTCGCGCCGAAAGAGCAGGGCGGACGATGAGGAATCCCTCACACCGGGTGGCAGTCCGAATAAACAGTTAACTGGTGGATCCAAGGCCACCACACCCACTGGCAGTCGGGAGCCCAGTGTGGCGCACTTTTCTCTAGGGGATCCCAATCGCAGCTCCACGCGGTCCATGCAACCGCTGGGAAAAGGCGAGGGTAGAAACGGCAAGCCAGTCGGTCGAAGTTCAAGTAGTGTGTCAGGAAAAAGACCCGCCCACCTGGATGCGGATGTGATTCACATACCGCTGAAAGGAGGCGATAGCGAGAACAGTTTGCTCCGGCCGGAGAGCTACTCGAATGCCAGCACCCTTAGTTATGGACGACCGCTGGATAGGAAGACCCTGAGCACTCTGCAGCTGGCGGATATTCCGATAAGTGATGGCAACATGGAGTTGATAGCCATTGCCGACAGGCAGAGCATCAAGAATCTGTGCGAGGGAGCCTACGGTGTGGTGCTGGATCCCAGTGTGGATCTCTCCGAGGCAGAGCATTTTGCGCTGTACACCAGTAAAAGTCCGGAGCCACCGTTTGGCGGGGAGTTCGGCGAAGGTGGGGCAGCAGGTGGAGCGGCAACGGGCGGCGTGGATGCAACGGATTTCCTCAGTGCGGATGAAATAGCTCGGCGGCTGGCGGAGGCCAATGGCTTGGAGTAGGGATGGGGGAGATGAAATTGTTACGTGTAACTGATTTGATTGTGAAAAAGTTATTTTTACTAATTTAAAAACATTTATCTATGAAAACGAATAGCCGCCATAATACAGGGTATCACAAAGGTTTCCTTTTAAAAACGAAAATGTATTTATCAAAACAAAGGAGTCGGAATCTCCAATTTTTTAAAGATGAATGATTAATGAGGCCTATTGCTTCATACAAAGATACCATTTATTTTCCAATAATATCTTTTTTAAACGTTTCACAATCAAAATCAAATCAGTTATCCGAAACCTTAGCATTAGTTAGTCCAAAACACAACTGCACACCTACAAAAATATCTTTTCTAGTCGTCTTCTCTTTCAGTATTAATTTTAAATATGTCATAATGCTTACAAAAACTTTCTAGATAAGAATACTCTGAGTACACTCACCGAAATCGAATATAAGCATTTCTAATCACCCAAAAATCCGAATATCTTTGTAGAACTCCTCTCAAAGCACAATCGTCTGGAGACCCAAAAAGCGGTTGAAAGCCTAAAGCGCAGTCTCATGAACACCGATTTCTATCCATCCAAGCAGGTCAAAACGTCCAGTAAGTTCTTGAGAATATGCCGCATTTATTACTGGTGCTGGGTTCTTTTATACAAGCATTACATCTATGTAGTTCCTAGACACACACATCTATCATACAAAAAAACACAAACTCATTTAGCGATTGTCATTTTGAGTAGCTAAAATTGTTGGTGAAAATTCACTATATATAGTACAGGATTTAATACCATGTGGACCAATGGATAATATTGTTGTCCGACCCGGAATTGTTGGAAAATGTTAAACTGTAGTCGAAAAATATTTGGTTTTTTTAGGCCGTTCGAATTGAAAATATTTGTTATACGCACTATTAATGTAACATAAATTTGATTAATAAAGGTTTTTGGTAAAAGTCGTTAAACTTAACTATTTTTAAAATTGATTAAATTTTTTGCAAAATATTTTTAAAATCTCTTGCCTTATTAGAAAACAATTAATAATAAAATATTACAAAAAAAAATTAAATTTTAAATAAGTTTTTTAAACATACTTTTGTCCGCTACAAATATTTTATTTTAAAATAGAAAGGCCGTTGTCACATTTACAGCCAGCGATTCAATATTAAAATGTTATTATTTTGAAAAAAAAAAATAAATAAACATAAAAGTTTTTAAGGCAAGTGTATTTAAAACGTCGGACCACCGCTGTTGTGTCTCCACTTCCTATTATTTTTGTCAAGTTTTCCCCAAGCTTCAGATTAGCCACCAAAGTTGGACTTCAAATAATGTAAGTTGATATTGCCTGCCTGCAGTCAAGTTGATGTTGTGGTTTGCTGTTGTCCTTTTTGAGTTTACGCAAATTGCTTAAGTTTTTCCTCAGTTTCGCCTCATTTATGTAAATGCTTTGTTGCGTTCATTAACCGTTTTTCCGTTGCTATTGGAAACATAAGTCTAATACTGTTGAATTCATTTTTCTAGGCCCCAATCCGGTGGTTCAAACTCCACTAATGTCGACCACAATACCGCAGGCACAGGTGTCGCCTGGTATGTCCATGATGTATCCTGGTGGAAGTCCTAACTTTGTGCAGAATATCAAAATAGAAAATGCATATATGGATGTGGATAGCCAGAGTAGCCATTGTGCATCAGTGGATTATAATTTTCCATCACCGCGGTCCACATGCAGTACAGTGGATAGCATTCCGCCGATGCTAAATGGGCAGAACAACAATCATCTATATCTGCCAGAGGCGTCAAACTTCCCCATTCATTGCCGCAGTCCAACGGGTCTTAGTGGTGGCTCCATAACTCCAATCAACAATAACAACAACATAATGATGAATAACAATAACAATGATTATTTGAGTCTCAAAATGAGTGCCATAAGCTTACCGCAGCAAGACAACTTGAACATTAAGCAGGGATTCCTACAAAACCAGCAGTTCCTGCCTCAGTCTCAGCCAGAGCAGCTACCGAATTGGGCCCAATCCCAGCCAGAACAGTCTCAGTACCCGCAGGAACATCAGCCGCAGCAACAACATCTGCAGCAGCAACATCAACAACAGCAACCACAGGCAGACGCACCCCTCCAGTCGTGGAGTGATCTTATATCCAGCACCATAATGGATCTGGCGCCCATTGACACCAACGAACTTATCCAGGGCATTGATGCAGAACTCAACAGTTTGGGATTGCAGACATTTAAATGAACAACAACTTTGCTAATTACTTATGTGTATATATTCATTAAATATACCAGAAATTAACCAATTAGAGCTATGTAAAAAGGTCTCAAGACAGGTTGTAACCATTTCGAGATTAGGTCCAACAGAAAGCCTGTCTTACATAACTCTAGTTCACCGCAGTGTACATAAATTTAACTAGATAGCATATAGAGGGAAATGCGAATCTCATTGCCCGATGCTGTGTTACGATTTTTCGTTAAAATGAATTCCAAATGATAATTGTTTATAATAAAATATTACTTAAGAATTTACATGGTGTATGTATGTTTGTTTTCATGGGGGGAATGTGGGTAATACTATAATAATTTAGAGAGCGAGTCGTTTAGCGACAGAAGTAGGGCTGACCAAGGTTTGCATTATTCTCATTGCGCATGCCGGCAAAGAAACGATTGATGTCCTCCTCGGTTACAACTTTCTTGCTAGCTGCGAATGCCTGCAGGTATTCCTTTAGCTTGTCCTTCATGCGGTTGTACTCGGTAATCGCATCGATTTGCTGTGTCCGGTCAATGGAGGCCAGTGCCCGAATACCTTGCTCATAGCTGGAATTCTCCTCCGCCCGCTTCATGCCGCGCTCCTCGTACGTCTTTGCCAAGTCCTCGGCGTCAAGCAGGAACTCCACGCCGAGTTCCTTGTAGAGCGTCAGGCATTCAGAGCACTGGCAAAGCGATTTGCGCCAATCATTAGTCCAGAAAGCGGCTCCTTAAAGAAGAAAGGGGTGAAATTGTTAAGTTGGTGCTAAATGTGGGTACTGCTAAAATTCGCCTAACTGTTTAAGATAATACTGTACTTAGCTTTAATAGGAATAGAAATTCCCGTAACTCACAGAGATAGTGTTGAGATTTCTTTCAAATACTTTCAACATTTAAGAACCCCCTTATTCAAACACTTCCCATTTAAATTGCTAATATTGACCATGAATCTAGAGTTCTTCAGCGAGGGCCTCGACTGCCTGATGTACTGCGGCATGAAGCTATCGCCGGAGCAGCGCATCTTGATCGAGAACTCGCTGATTGCATTGCAAAATGATAACCGTTTTTCGGGCATGTATCTGTGGGGTCGCATTACGGCCACCAAGAATGATTACTACATTGCCTTTGGCTACACAAGCGATTGTCTTAAGGATCGCAAGTATTTCTACAGTTTGGATCAGTTTCAGTGGCAGTTGTTGCCGTTTGTCCAGAGCCCCAAGATATTCCAGGCCACCATACTGGCAAGGGAGCCATTTATTGGGGATCCCAGCATGATGTCGTACGTGAAGCTGGTAAGGTGATAACATGTAGTATTAGGGATCTCACTGCATTTTCGGTATTCGCTGCCAACAGGATCCAACTTTTGACATTGTGGGCAACCAAGTGGCTGGCATCAGTCGTCCTGAAGTAGTTAAACTTAAGGAGGAGGAACGACTTGCAGCCATTGTGTTTATTATTACCGAGGAGTGTGCTATTTGCCCCCGCGGAGCTTTCTACAAGATGACCGATGGACGTGTGATACCTAACCAGATGTTTCGAGGCCTGAACGACTTGCAGATTGACAACCAATCCTATTACCAGCTTTATCGTCTGCCCCGCAATGATCTGAAACATAATTTGGCCAAGAGGAACGACTATAACTATGCTATTGACTTTCTGGACACCATTGACGGTGTTATACCGCTGGGTCAGTCTTTTGCTTTAAATATGCAGAGGAACGAGCGTTTGGTGATAATCAAGTCGTGTCTCTGGATGGGAATGACATTCTTTCACAAAATGAACTCCCATAAACATGGCTTCCTCTACTTGGGCGACGGCAAGAAGAACTTTGACTTGCTTTTCATGTATTAAGTTTACTTTTAAATAATAATTTCGGTTCATTCTTGAAGCATACATAAAATCTTTGACTATTGTTTAAGCCAACTGAAATAAACAAAAAAAATTAATTTACTGTTCTAATTACATGACTAAATTTTCACTATCTTCTTTTAAAGAACTTATCTACTTCTAGCCTTCTGTTAATTCTTATATTATCATCATTTAAACCTCAAGCTAATGGATTGTAGTCCTACATACCACAGTTAATTGCAAAAATTATTTGGCTTTGCAGGCTAAAGAAAATGTCTTATTAAAATAATTTATCAATGGTTTAGTACCAAAGTTTTAGTAAACTTATATCTAGGAAACAGGATTTAAGTAAAAGAGTTTGAAATACATTATTATAAATTATTGCTAATATATTTCATTTTCTCACCCTCATGCTCTTTGGTTGGCTTGGGACGAACGCAGTTCTCCAGCTTGGGACGCTTCTGGCTCGGCTCGCCCTCCTCTTCTGGAGATTCGCCCTCAGGAACATTCATAATATCGCTAATGCTGCGGTCCAACTCGTTCTTCAACTGGCTGTCGTCTGCCTGTTCCTCCCCCACTGGCTGCAGTGCCAGTCCAGTGTAGTCCTTTAGGAAGGGTTTGGCATCCATGCAGCCATCGCAGATCATCTCGCTGCAGGAATCCAGCCACTTCTCGCTGGCACCGGGTGCCGTCATGTGCGGCAAGTGGTACCAGTCCTCGCAGATGGCGCATTGCAGCATCACCTCCTCGACGGTGCGATCGGGATCGGGATAGGGGCGCTTGCACTTGCAGTACAGCCCTTGGAAATTCTGGTTATAGAGATTCTCTTCGTTCCGGGGTTGAACTCCCTCAACTTGTGGATTTAGGGAGCACTTGCCAAGTCGCTGGGTGGGGCAATCGCAGCGGAAATTCCGCTTGGTGTAGAGCTCCACCAGCTCGTGGTGCTCATGACAGCGATAGGAGCAGGCCAAGCAGATTCCTGCGGCCTTGGACAGATCCTCGCGAGCCTCGGGGCAGCAGGTGAGGCAGGAGTACAGGGCCTGCCGTCCAATCGGGCCCTTCGCATACGTGCAGGACTTCTCATCGGAGGCGCCCAGCACAGCGGCATATTCGTCGTCCAGTTCCTTTTCCTGCTCCAGGACATCCAGCATTGTAATAGTCGATTGCTCCAGCGGATTGGTCTCCTCGCCCTCGGGAACACCAGCTGCGGCATCAAACTCGCTCATTTTCACAATTTAAATAATAGAAACTAGCTTGGCTTCGTGTCAATTTCAAGAAAGTGGCGCAATGCGCAGTGTTTGGCGCGATTGGATGAAAATTGCAAATAATTCAACCACCAAAATTTAGAGATGTGCCAGAACAGCTTGCCTTTGCGATAGTTATCGATTGCAGTTCTGACAAACTCTTTCAGATAGCGGTTTCAAATTACCGACAAATAAAAATAGCTAGATTTTAGATAGCCAAAAAATAAATAAACACAATTTAGAGAACACCGCTAGGTAAATAATAACAAATGAAGGACACAAAATTTTAACTAGTTTTAAATTTAAATTATTCCGGATAAATTTTTCTAGTTTATTTAACATTCCTCTTAGACTTCAGCTATATTTTAACATCGTTTTAGTTCTAAAAATTAATCTTATTATTTTTCAGCTAGTTTTGCTAGAAATATCTCAGTTGGCAGTACACCAATGCGTTTTTGCGTTGTTCAACACTATCCCAGCGAATTTCCTGAGCGTGCTGCTGTTTATAATAAACAATTTCGATTTTTGGTGTAATTTAACAAAAATAAATATATAAAATGAATGCGCCACCCACCTTTGAGTCATTCCTACTCTACGAAGGCGAGAAAAAGTGGGTAAACAAATCTAATTCTACCAAATTAGTCCTGTAACCGATTTTTGTATTTGTTTTGGCGCGGTGGCAGAATCATCAAGGAATTGGACACCAAAGTAACAAATGCGGCAATTTTTACGATAAATAAAGAGGATCACACTCTGGGCAACATGATCCGCAAGTAAGTCGATTTCTAAACCTGGTTAATTACAAAATAACCGGGTATTGTTCGCTACAGCCAACTGTTGAAGGATCCCAATGTTTTGTTTGCCGGCTACAAGGTTCCGCATCCCCTGGAACACAAATTCGTTATCCGGATCCAGACTACGGCGGATTATTCCCCGCAAGAGGCCTTCATGAACGCCATTACCGATCTGCTGGCGGAATTATCTCTCTTCGAAGAACGCTTCAAGGTAGGACAATACTTTGATCTGTTCCAGAAAACTCTCTTAAATTCTTATTAATAATTGTAATATCCTATTTTTCCAGGATGCCATTAAGGAGAAGAAGGAGGGCGGCGATTAATTGTACTTTTACCTCTTAAACCAATAAATTCTGGACAGTCTTCTTCCACATTCTTATTTTTTATTTTTACACTATGTTTACATTCAAAAATTACGAAAACAACCGATTGTGTTTGCCACGAATCGCATTAAATAAATAAAAACAATTTAAAATAGACTATTTTCCATGAATGTGTGCATAACGCAAGATGATCACGATTTGAAATAGAGAATGTTGTTTTTGTGATTGAGTGAAGCTCTGCTGAGGTACAAGTTATCTCATCCGATATATCTCGCAATGCGGTTATGCTAAAGAGTCAAAACAAAGTAAAATGGAAAAATAATTTAGAATTTATCTAGAGCTAATAGGTTTCATCATCGGCGCATTCGCTCGTATCGTGGCCAAAAACTGAAATTAGTAAAAATATTGATAATTTGGATCTAATTCAGATCGTATTGAAAATATTTTTACTTACCCTCGCAAGAATCGCAGTATTTCCTGGGCGCTGGCAACTTGCGTTCCTTCTCGTTATTATTGGCCTCGGACGGTGGCGGTGAGTAATCACGATCCTCGCTAGCCTGGATTGGACAGTCCTCCGTCTCGTGCTTGTCAAACTCATCGCAAATGTCGCAGAAAAGTCTGGGAGCCGGTTTTCGCTTGGTCAGCACATCAAAGGCATGGGGTCTTAAAACGTTAACAATATAATTTTCAAATCATGTTCAACAAATTTCAGTATTATTTATATACATAAATTAAAATGCTTAATGAGTTTAAGCATGTGTTTTACAACGTAAAATAAGGTTTTAAGTAAAATGTAACTGACTCACTTCGTGAAGTCCATTGGCAAGGTTTCCAGGGTCTGCACTTTGGCCTTGAGTGCATCATTCTTTTGCTGCATGTCTGCAATGATTGAGTTGAGAAAGTTGATCTTGGCTAGACTTGTCTCGGTGTCCAGTGTCTAGAAGAAATAAATAAATAAATTGATAAACCAAATACTCGTTATTTGCTCAAAAAAACGCACCTCTAGTTCATCTCCCTTTCCTGACCGGCTGCCAGCTCCATTCATTTGCGTCTTGAGAATCAAAATCTCCTTCGATTTCTCCATTTCAAGCGATTCCAGCTTGCGCCTCAGTTCCTTGGTCTCAAGATTAGCAGTCTTTTGGGCTTCGTTGGCCTGGTGGAGTGCAGCCTCCAGTTCCACAACTCGATTTTGAAGCTGTTCCAGCAGCTTGGACTTCACGGAGGCCGAATCATCCATTTCATCGATGACTTTCTGGTACTCCGCCAGCTGTGTGTCGAATTCGTTGCCTTTTTCTAAAAGTGATTGCTTCTGTTGAAGGGACTTTTGCAGCTCCTCATTAGCCTGCTTTAGTTGGCTCAATTGCTCAGATAACTTGAAGGACTCCTCTTGTAGATTCCTCTCTTTTTGCTGGGCCTGTTCCAGTTTGTCCTGGAGTTCGTTGTAGCTTTTCTTTCGCTCTTCCAGTAGAGAATTACTTTCCTGAAGTTTAGCTTCAAGGCTTTTAAAGCTTTCTTCTTTTTTAGACATTGACTCGTGAAGTTCCCCATTGGCTTGTTCCAGTTGACGTAGTTGCTCGGTAACTGCCTGAGATTCTCCTTGTAGGTTTCCCTCGCTCTCCTGAGACTTAAGCAGCAAATCCTGCAGTTCTTTGTTTGTGGCCTGTTGAATTTCCAAATGAGAATTGGCTGCTTCGAGTTTTTCCTCGAAAACCTTTACCAATCCTTCTACTTTTACTAGGGAATCCTTAACTTCTCCATTGGCCTGTTGCACTTGTTGAAGCTCACTGGATAGTTTGGCAGCCTCCGCCTGCAGGGACTTCTCCCTCTGTTCGGTCTCCTCCAATTTAACTTGGGTTTCCTTTGACAGAGAATTTTGGGTTTCTAGGTGACTATTGCTTTCTTTTAATTTATCCTCTAAGTTCTGTACAAGTTCTTCTTTTTTCTTGAGGGATTCCGAAAGTTCCGACTGGGTCTTTTGTAGCTCTTGTAGTTGCTCATTCAGTTTGGCACCTTCTTCTTGTAAATTCTTTTCATTTCTTTGAGCTTCTTCTAGTTTTATTTGTACTTCCTGGGATGAAGTACTTTGACCTTCAATTATGGAACTGGTTTCCTTTAGTTTACCCTCTAAATCCAGCACAATTTCCTCTTTTTGCTTCAGAGAATGTTTAAGTTCTTCCAATGACTGTTGTAGTTCCTTTAGTTGCTCTTTGAAACTCAAGGATTCTTGCTGGAAATTCTGCTCACTCTGCTGGGTCTGCTCCAATTTCACCTCCAACTCCTTGAACTTTTTCTGTCGCTCATCCAGTTGAAGATGAGTTGCCTTCAACTCCTCCTTCATCCCAGTGAGTATTTCAATCAACCGCTCAGAGTTCATATCCGCTTCCATTTCAAAAAGCTCAAATATGTGATTTGTTTCGGTTTTCTCCGCTTGAAGGACTTCCAACACGGTGGATAGCTCTGCATTGGTGGCTGATATGTTGGCATTAGCCACCTGGATGGCTTCTACAAGGGTCTTAAGGTCGGCTATCTTCTGGGCATCTTCGGCAGACATTTTCTCTTTGTGCTGGATCTCGGCATTGGAGATTTCCAAACGCTCCTGCAGATCTTTAATAGTTTCCTGAGTGCCGCTGCTTAGCTCTTGATTATCCGCCTTTGCCTTAGTAATTTCTTCCCGGAGACTCTTGATAGATTCTTCCAGAGACTTCTCCTTTCTTTCTCCCTCTGCTTTCAATTTTGTTTGCGAATCTTGACTATCATGCAGCTGCTGTCGAAGCTCCTGTATTTCTTTCTCCTTCTGAAGCATCTCCTGGCTCCACTCATCGGCTTTGCTGGTTAGTTCCTTTTGACCCGTGGCTAATTCCTCCGAGAACTTGGAGAGTTTGGTGTGAAGGTCGCTGGAAGAGGATCGCTCTGCTAGGAGTTCAGCATGTAAGGTATCGGTGATCTCCTTCACCTGATCTTGTAGGCGAGAAGCCTCCGCTCGGGTCTCCGCATAGTCCTGTTTGGAAATACAGTAATCAAAAATATATTATTCTATATTAAAAGTCTTTTCTTATAAAACCCTACCTTGTTAACCTTTTCCAGAGCTGCATTGGCTGCCTCAAGTTGCTTCGATTTGGATTCCACATCCGTATGACTTGAGCTGAGAGCTGACTCCGTCTCTTCCACTTGGGACTTAAGTTTGGCGATCTGTTCCTGCAGATTGGCCAACTTTTTGGCTTCCTCCTCTAGGCTACCATTTGCTGACTCCAATTGTTTGGCCTTGGCTTCCACATCGGATTGGCTAGACTTTAAATCTGATTGAGTTTTTTCAGCCTGGGACTTAAGCTGACTAATTTCCTCCTGCAATTTGGCCAAGTTCTTGGATCCCTCTTCTCCAGATGCGGCTGCTTGTTGTTGAAGTTGCTCTAATTGGTTTTGGGTGGACTTTAGAGCTCCTTCGGTTTCACTTGACTTAGCTTGGAGTTGCTGGAGTTCCTGCCCCTTTTGGTTTAAAATCCTTTCCTGATCTATTTTCAGTTCTTCCAGATCATTTAAAAGTTTTTCATGGGCTTGATCTTTCTCCTCTAGTTTCTGTTTCAGTTTTTGAACGGATTCACTGGATTCAATTAATAATATATCCTTTTGGCTATTTTGATCCTTGTTTTCCTGAAGGTATTTTTCTGTTTCAGACTGTTTCTTTTGGAAGTTTTCCAATTCAGTTTGTTTTAAAGCCAATTCCTGCTCTACCGATAACTTCTCTAATTTAATTTGACTGATTTCTTGTTCAGCCTTTTCCATGACTAGTTTTTGTTGTTCCGCCAATTTATTTATTTCTGTTAATCGCTTTTCAAGTTTCTCTTTTTCCTGCTGATTTTTAGCAGCATTTTCTTTAAATTGATTTAGCTCATTCACGTTATTTTTCAAAAGAGTAGATTTTTCTTCACTTTCCGTTTTTTGCAACCGAAGCATTTCATCTAGGGCCGAACTATCAGCTTTTTGTACATTAAGTTGGGTGGTAAGCTCATCGAGCTGTTGACTTATTTCTTTGATTTGGTCATCCCGCATTCGGACTTCAGTCTGAAGAATCTCGCATTCATCGGTTTTATTTACCCTTTCGCTTTCCAGAGAATCGGAGGCTGCTTTAAGACTCTGCAATTCGGCGGTGACGTTTTTCAGCTCTTCTGATTTTTCGGCAAGCTTTCGTGAGAAATTTGCTTCAGCCTCCTCAGCTTGCTTTTCGTTCTCCTCTTTGAGGAGTGCCAGTTCCCGGCGAAGATTCTCAATCCCACACTCCGAGAGGGAGAATTTCTCCAAGGACTCATCCTTGGACACGAGTTCAGACTGAAGAATGGCATTCTGCTCCTGCAGGTACTTCACATTCTCCCTCAACCGCTGCTCCTCCTCCACCTGCTCGGCAATCCGGGATTCAGTCTCTTTTTGCTGAATATTAAGCTTTTCCTGCAGTTGGGCAATCTCTTCCTTAAGGGCGCTATCATCTGGGGGCGGGGCAGGTGGTGGTATGCTTTGCAAACTTGGTGTGGCTGAAAGGGATATAAAAAGGAGGATATGAGCAATATTACCCATATTTAAATTCACGACATTTCTTTACCGGATACCAGTTGTGTAATTTTTGACTCCAGATCGTGGATCTTTTCCTTGTAAACCTGCGATTGAGCCTAATAAGTAGAAAGTTTTCAATTAATAAGAACTAATAATCTCACTTTAATGTATTAAATTGTACATTGACTTGTTTTGAAGCTGTGTTTTTCAATTTCAAACTATCTTCAATTTAAAAAATGATTCATGAATGAATTCTGCACTACAGAAGTGTTTGACTATAATAATACGACATGTGCAAAATACTGTAAGATAAACTTTCATTACTTTAAATTAAATTATAAATAATTATATTTCTTATGAAATCAAAGGGCTTTAATTAATTTGAATACTGTTTTATTTAAAAATCAAATATCAATCATAAAAATCCTGATAAAGAAACATGTGAGCAGTCTCTAATAATTATATCTCTTTTTCAATGAAAAAGCCAAGATTTCTATTGCATACTTTCAGTTCTAAAAACTGGTTGTAAATTAACATTTGAGGATTCATATTTTTTTAATATTTGATTTTGAAAATGTATATTATTTGCTACGATGTTAGCAGTTAAGAAAATCAAAGACGGTTTCATTAATGAAAATTTATAAATCAACACTTTCTCTTTTTAAGGAAACCTGAAGGACTAATTAATATTATATTATATTTCAAATTATATTTCAGATTCCATTAGATTTATATATTATACAAATTAAAATACGGACGAACTTTTTATTTAAATACAATGAGCAGAACCAAAAGTAATAAATTTAAAAGGAATCCAAAGCGAAAGAAAAATCAAGTCCAAAAAGAAAATACTAAACGTACAAAAGCGCAAGATCAACTAAATAGAACTCAAATTTAAAAAAAAGGCCTTTGAAATCCAAAAAAAACTAATCTCCATAGAAGTCAATGTACATTGCCAACTAAAATTTCTACGAGTTCTTACATTCATTTCATCGCCACAAAACTGGGCCTCGTCTACGGAGAATTGCAACTCTTCCGATTTCTTTCGTTCATCTCCCAAAGCCGACTCCAATTCAACAATTCTTGCCTTCAGCTAAGGACCGAGGAATCAGAGAGATATACGAAAACAGGATTAGCAAAGAAATCATAACCATAAATAAAACAACATTTGAAGATATAAAAGATGTTTTGCATATTGTTAATGTATTTTTCTTCATAAAGATAGTATTTAAGTATATATCGTATATATCGTATCAACTAAACCAACAGCAAGAAAAAATTCGCTTTCGTACAAAATAATCAAAAATTGTTAGACAACTTTTCCATTTTCCATTTTTTTTTTCCTTCAATTTCGTTATCAATTTTTTTTAGCCAAATAAACCGTTTAAAGTAACTTGATTCGTTTTGGTTTTTCAGTTGGCTTTCGTTATTTTGAAATTTTTTCTCTTTTCATTATTTAAAAGAAACTTAATTCTTTATTTGGTTGTATCAGCTTAAAACGCTGTGCAGACTTCAACATTGTCTTCAGTGGTTTCCTTTCTCGGTGCTAAGAAAGTTAATTCAAAAATCATCCAATCGAATAGTTTTGAGCACTGTGGTCGCCCATCCATCTCTCCCAGATTTCTACTTGATGCGCAGAGGTGTAAGGACACTGTGCAGGATGCAGTGACTCTCGTGTTTTCCAGACCAGCCGCGGAACTCGCGTCGCAGATCGGAAACCTTTATGCTGTGTCTCGCTATCAGACGTCTCCAACGATCCGCTTCGATCAGTATTTGCTATAAGAATTATACAAAAATAGTTTTGTGCAAACAGAATTTCTTTTCTAAGGCCAGCATAATTTTGTTCAAATTTGATGTCTAATTATTTTTTGGTTTTGCGTTAAAAAGGATGAAGAGTTCATTGGGTTTGAGAGGTAGGAATAATGGAGATGGTGTGGTTTAGATCGGGATAGGGGCTTTTGGGTGATAATTTTGTTGCTAATTTAACACTCAAACTCAATGTGCGCTTGACAAATAGAAAAGTCTAACACGTATCCGCATATAATTATAAGCACAAACAATTTATTCAAAACAAAACCAAACAGAAAGCACAAAACTCAATCATCCCAGATAGTCATCTTCTAAAAAAGGCCCCCAAAGCAGTTGCAAAAAATAAAAGTGAACAGTGCGTTTCAAACATATATGGTTTAAGGCCTAGGCAAAGCAATAAAGTATATTTTTAGTGCCAGGTTTTAAATCTCTATAACGCACTGTATGAGAAAGCCAACAGTGTAAATATGCAAACAATTAATGCACATAATTTTGTTTATTTATATTAGTGCTTTTTTTTGCCTTTTTCTTGCTGTAGTTTTTAGGTATAGTACATGAGAATTGAAGGGTACAAAACTGTAAGTGTCTGAACTGAGATGAACTCAATAAAAATTATTTAGGTATTCGAAAATAAAATAAATTTAAAAAAATGTATGAAAACGTTAGCCCTTCCAATCAATTGAGACGCAAGTTAATAGTAAATTAAAATTTTCTGCCAGCACAAAATTAAAAAAATAATAATATACCCAATGTATGCAAGTTGATTTAAAATCAATTTGATTTTGTATACATTTCGATAATAACCTTAACCCATTGTTAGCCGGATTTTGACCGAGTTAAATGCTGTTGAACCCTACAAACCTTTCATGCCTAGTTAAACTTATGAAATTTGTACTCTTCTCAGCGTTTGAAGTTAATTTGATGAATCATTCTGGGAAAATGACTGACAATTTGGAGATGACTTATGGCATAACTGTGGTTAAAAAACGAAACATAAAATCAAATGTGCCAACAATTAAGTGAGTTCGAGTTAAATCAACAACAATAAACACAAGACAATGATGAAAATAATAAAGACATAACTGTGAAAATCAAAGAAAATTAACCAAACAAAAAGGAAAATGGTTGAGTGTCTGGTGGGGGAGTTGAATGCTTTTGTGTAAACAGCCAGCGCGGGTGCAATGCAAAAACAAAAACAAAATCAAAACAAAACACAATTAATCGAAACCGAAAACTGCACAAATGACTGAGCAAACATTGACTGGGTCCGTGTTGTCGTCAGCCAACTGGAAAGAGTTTCTTTTTATCGCAAAACCAAACTTTCTTTGGCTTGGCCCGCTGCTGAAGTTGCTGCTGTGTCTGCAATATCTGTTGCTGCTGCTGCTGTTGCAGGGGCTGCCTGTTGCATGTTGCTGCTGTTATGGCTGGTCTTGTGCTGGTGGTAATGCTGCTGCTCAGGGTGGTGGGCACCCAAATATTTTGCTGTGGCTGTTGCACCGGACTCTTTACCCTTGACTTCTTGCTGCTGGGTCGATAGGGTCGCGATCTATCCGCATAGGGCAGCGGTGCGTACATGGTATCGGTGAAGATAATTACCTCGTTGATGCTCTTCTGCAGCTGCAGCGCCTGATTCTGGGCATCCTCGCGGTCCAAATCGCGCTCCACCATCAGCTGCTCCACATGTTGTTGCTTCTCGCGCAGCAGATCCTACAATATCGATCGTTCGACCAAAAAATAAAGAGCACAGAGAGCACAAAGCAAGCTTTTATGAAATGCCTGAACACACAATTACAATACAATAGAGACAGAAGGAGCATATAGATACAGATTCGGATACATATAGTGTGGGTGTATGTACAAGAAAAGGGTGCAGCTGGTAGCAAGGAACACTCATTACTTTATTGTGGCTTTACCTTTTACCGGCGACAGCGAGCACACATGCAAATAAAAATAGCATTTAAACGAAACAATGAACAATCAACACTTAAACAGCGAAAGCGTGCAGGAAATATTTAAATATTTTTTATCATACATAGTGAAATAAAAAACCAACTCAAACACATCTCTTTAAATGCATAAAGACTTCGTAGGCATACATTTTTTATTAATTTACATAGTTTTTTTTCTGGTGGGGTTTGTTTTGTTTGAGGGGTGGTTTTGTGTAGTGTATTTGGTGGGTTAGTGTCTTATGTTAGTTGTACGCTTACGATCTAGGGGTTAAACCACGAATAAACAGAAAGAATACTCGAACCCAAGAACGTTAATGTTCTTTAAAGTTGTCTTTTTAAAATAGACATTTAATTTAAATAGTTTATTTGATTGAAAATAAATGAAAAATCTTTTCAGTTTAGTAACCAAACCATTTAACTTTTAATGTAAATTTGAAATTCTTTATAAATTTTGATTAACAAAACCAATATACTTTTAACTTTAATGGGTTGAGTATGCTAGCAGCAATTACAGCTTAAACTACTAAAAGCTCTGGAAACTAATAGAGCTATTAAAACGAAAAGGGGAAAACAAACAGCGAATACCATACAATTTATTTGTAGATCGTGTAGAAGTTAGCATACCTGCATGGAAAATTGGCTTTTCGGCGACGTTATAATTGGCTTTACTGGCGTGATCGACTTGCGCTGCTAGGAACGGAACGGGATTGCGATTAGAATTGGAACGCGTTAGTACCAGTGCTCAAAATAAATTAATAAGTAGGTTAAAGGGTAAAATAAAATTAACAAAGAACAGAAACAGAACTGCAAACGGTATGTTTCAGGGACTGTGGGTGTTCAGTGAAAGAACTGTGGTGGTGAGGGGTGCTCCTGTCGAGGTAACCGCTTATACCTGAGCATTCATGCGCATGCGCGACGTGGCCGTGGTGGCGATGCTGTTCATGGTGCCGATCGAGGTGAGGGACTCCCGCGATCCAGTCCTCGATAGTCGCGTTTTTTTCGACGACGGCGACAGCGAAACCTTCGCTATGGGTACAAACACTCCGTATTTGGGTTTGCACTCGAAGTATCTGCAATGGAAGTTGGTTAAAACCTGGACTTTAGCAATTTGAACTGACAAAACAAATCCGAACACTCCATCTTATTATTGTAAATATTGAAAACAATAAAAATTAACTTTTTAATTCTTATTACCGGCGTTATACTTTTGTATAATATTAAATGATAATAAAATGGCTAAAAATGGTAATTATATTTGACGATAGTCGACTTTTACGAACAAAGAACGTTTATACCCACGATTACGAAATTAATTCATATTATCAAAATGAATTGGTTCAGTAAATTTCTAGTACAGTTTACACCGTGGCGGATGTATTTTTTCTTTGCATATGATTTCTGGTTATACCTTATATCATCCACAGCACCATCGTTCTTGCCGCTTGGCTCATCCAATTCCACGCCGCACCAATTGCCAGGAGCGAATTGTGTCTCGCCCAAATAGCGTAAAATACCCGGACGACTGCCAAATCCAGAGGAGACAATCACACGATCGCCCACAGCCATGCCGTTTTCTAGTTAAGATAACACATTTTGTTGTATTTTTTAAAGGAAAAATCCTCATTCTTTGGGATAGAAAACTTACTGCCTCCAATGCCGGGACTGCGGAGCATAGAGCTGCGAATACTCGCAGTTGGGGAGACTGTGCGCGATCTGTCCGGTGAGTTTTTGGCCAACGGCGAAGTCGGCGTCTGGGCTCCGGACATCGGATATGTGGTAAGACGTGTGAGGCGTGAGAAAATGCCGCGTTTCGGCTCGCACTGGAAGTATCTTTTGCCCGACACACAGCCATCGTTTTTACCTACAGATAAATAAAGATTTAAGTAAGAGTTTTTAAGGCAATCCTCCTAAATATTTTCGTACCATTAGGATCATCCAGGACAACGCCCGCCCATTCGCCGGGTGCAAAGTGTGTCTCTCCGATGTAGGCAATCTGTCCGGGACGAAGGCCACCGAGCCAAACCCGCTGGCCAATGATGAACTGCTCTGTGTTCGCTGTCAGCACGGTGCTGTTGTGATCTGTTCGAGGGGAAACCAATGTCGAGATGGGGGGTCCCATTAGTATCACCCGATAGGTCATCAATCATAATACTACACAAAATGCTAAAATTGGCTAGACTGCGTTTTCATTTATCTCTCCAATACAGTTCATTTTTTATTGTGTTCCACATGGGTATGATGTCATTTGGCGTATTTGCATATCGCCTGCTCAATGGAAAACCATTGAGTACGATCCCCCGCATAATGAATATATATTCTATAAACAGATTTCAGCATTGTAAACTTGACATTTGCAAGCTGTTCAATATTCCACTTCTAAGTTAAAAGTGGAAATTAATACTCTCCGATTTCACTTTTAAATACCAATTTATCTTTTATAAGTCTGGGAGGAAAAACCATTAAGTGGAAAATTACAGGAAACAAGCGTATTAAAAGGCAAAATAAAAATTGCATGCAGCTCAATGAAGTCATAACAACATTTTGCCAAGTTTGGCTGTCGTGTCAGTTAATTTAATTTTGTTGTTGACTGCATCCACCCACATCTATTAGATATGGCACCTTGTTTATAATTTTCACATTGCCATTGTTGAAAATTGAACTACGTTTAAAATTGTATGTGACACTGCATACAGAAAATACAAAAAATGCATAATGTTAAATCCTTAGTTCGTTGTTTATTACAACCTAAACATTAGGCTTGTTATATTTTTTATTTGGTACGAATGTTCAGTATTTGAATTGTTTTGCCTATTAAGTACAAAATTAGCAACTGATTATGACAAAACAAGTCTCATATATAATGAGTAAAGTTTAGGCTTGTTGATTCCCAATTATACAATAGATTTGGGCATAGGAAATTATAGGAATTACTAATAAAATCAGTTTATCGCGTTTTATAGCGTTACGTTTACCGTAAAAAATTTAATTTATTATTCATTGTTGTAAATAATAATAGCATAAAAAACGAAATCAGCAAAATCCCTTCACTAAAATTAACATAAACCAAGAAAGTTAAAGCTACATCATAAATCCTTAACCTTGTTCATGTATTTCTAAATTTATCTTAATATTGTTCAAGTTTTTGATGGATTAGGTGGGTTTCGTCATCCATTTATTTACCTTTAAAACCGTAACGATTTTGCTCCAAATTCATTAATCTACAGACTTGGTCAATTTAATTTGGTAAAAATTAAATTAAAAATGTGCATAGTTAACCCTATAAAGACCTTGACTTGCTGCATTGAGTCAGCGTAAATACTGTCACAGCAATGGCTCATTAGAGGCGCAATTACACCCACAGTGAGAGGTAAATTTGAACACGTTTTCAGTGGCTCATTAGGCTTTGTTAATTTGACAATACTGGGGGCTACTGAAGATGCAGAGGTATGTGCCTTCTGCATGAAAAAGTGTCTAAAGTGGCCATAAATTTGCGCTCTTAACGTTTCTGCCGAATGACCATTTAAGGAGCGAGCAACTGGCCTAGATGCATAGATACATAAACGCCAGCCACCTGCGCAAATAGTTAGAACCAGACACGCTCTCCAGATACAAGATATAGCAGGCAAAGGCATTTTTTTGATACACACAAGAAAAAAGAGAGGAACTAAAAATTGTTTTTGAGTTACGTGATAAAGTCGATGAAAGGTTCTCATGTATATTGAGAATTGCATTTCTTTTCTTCCATTGTATTTTATCAAATATTAATTCCCAGCATTGTCCACTGGGTTGTTATAATTATATTTTCCTGTTTTTCCTTATAATCCATTAGATCAATACTTAAGATAATTTTTCATCTCTGTGTAACCAGCCTCCCACAATCGTAGCGAATGCTTACCTGAGCTGCGACGTCGCCCAGTGGCCTCTAGATAATAATCATCTTTGGCGTTGGAAAACAAAAACAGAAAGAAAACGAAAACAAAACAAACAGAAAAGATACAGATACGAGACCAGATAAATATACATGCGACTGGCGGCAAAATGGCGATGGCGGGCAAAGAACTTACAAGATGTGCGACTTCCAGCCTCCGATTTTAGCGATCGTCGAGCGGGCGAAAAGCGGTCCCAATCGGATGTGGGTGAGAGCGAAGATCGCGTAAAGCGCCTGACAGTCTCTTGATAGAGATCTATAGACGAATACGAGTACGAGTTTATACATATACATGAAGTCAAGCCGGATTTTCCATAAAATGCATTTGCAATTGTTTAACATTTCGGTTTCGTGGGTGTTAACTGAGCAAGCTGTGCGGCCAGTTTTCCTGACATTTCCCCTTTTTTGTTATATATTATTATAAGCCTTATGTACATATTGGTATTGGTTAAAAATTAGCGCATTTGTGTTAAGCCCAATTTGCTCTTTTGGGTTGTGAAAGTTTTTTGGCAGCTTGTGTGCTGGGTTTCTTGTCTTTAATAAGATCTTGGCCGCAAGCAGTTGTGGTAAAGGTTAAATGGCAGCAAAAAAAAAAATAGCGAACGGTAATCTGAGATGTTATTAAGCTCGCAATATATAAAAATATGTATGGCTTAAAAGGGAGAGAGAATGTCGTGTGCTAGTAATATGATTATAATGAAACACTATATAAAACTTCTCTGAGCAGATAATAATTTATGATTCACTATTTTTGTTTTTGATTTAATTGTTTTTATTATCATTGTTTTCAACAATAATAAATAAATAAACCTTTGTAGCTTCCAAACCCTTTAAACCTACAAAAGCAGATTAAAAACCTTTCTCTGATATCTTTCACTAAATTATGTGTGTCAAATTTTGTATTGATATTTATCTGTAATGTCTTTTACAACTGCAACTTTCAAATCAATTTACACTTTTGCCAAAGCTTTATGAAAAAGAGCAATAAAAGCATAAATCAATTAAATTGTCGACAGTTTGGTAACGTTTTCAAAGCCATTGAATGAAAGACAGCAGGAGCTTTATAAACACAATTGCAGCCGACAAAAGAGATGCTCTGAGAAGGAAGAGATCGAGAAAAGATTTCAATTTTTCACTTGCACGATTTCGGTTTCCGTTTACTTTTCAGTGTACAGTAAAAAATTTGTATTAGTTTAAAAACTAATTGTTAAATGGAAAACCTCTTATATAATTTTGCTGGTTTAATATTATAGGTATTTCATTTGATTTTGTGTAAGATAGACAAAAAAAATTGAAGAATAAAAACAGTTAATTTGAAAGATATACATTTTTTTTTGGTGTACTAATAATCTTTAGTTTTTCGCTGCGAAAACCTCGACGTGTATACGTCATGTAGTTAATTGTGTTTTTGTCAGTTGAAATTGCTTTTATTTTTCCCGTTTTTTTTTTTAATTTCTGTTCATTTGTAATTTACGCCAGACATGCTCTGCTTGAGTACGAGTGTGTTGAAGATGCTTTCGTCCGGCTTTGTGTCTTGTGGGCTACTGTTTTTGGCTAATCAACCGATTGCGTTGGCCCAGCCATGACATGACATGAGTTGGCCAGCAGCTGGAGCCAACTTCAAGGTTCAATTGTATCTGGCAGATACTGGCAGCATTCGCTACCGTCGCCGATCGTGCAAGACAATTTGTTATTATTTGCCATTATACATCATGACGGTAGCAATTTATATTGTGTATCCTACTACATGCTCGTAACTACTTTTTTTTAATTATCACAATTGGGCGTTGTAACTGTTTGTATGTTGTTATATATATCTTTGTGAGTGGTTCCCTTTTATTTTGCAAACTTTCACTAATTGTAAAAGGGGAAACAATTTTCTCTGGCTTTGGCGTTCTGTGTTCGTATCGGTAACTGGCTTTATGTAATGGCTGAACAGCAGCCAATGCCAGGCAATAAATCTTGACTCGATCTGACTGGACTTTACCTTCGCTAATCTGTTAATTTGCAACATTTAACTGTGAAACGTCGTCATTCTAAAAATACGCACGCACCTAGATGACAAACAATTTCCTTGCAGTTGACATTCAGTGTCAGTGCTGCTAATGAACTCATGTATCTGACAGATACGCAGCGCACGGCCCGGTGAATCATCAAAGAGCACCGCTCACCCGGCCGGACCAAGTGGAGTGTGGCGCCGCTGACGTTGCGCTGCCAATAGTCGACTTGACTTGGCCAAAAGGCGGCCGGCTACGACCCACTTTGCTCACGACTCAACGATTCTGGCCAAAATGAAGCGCGGCCAGAGATATGTCTAACGAAAACAAATATTTCGCCAGCCATTTATGGCGGATAGATCGCGCGCTCGCCGGCGATAAATCAGCCAACAGTCCTGGCCATGTCAATAGCACATTATCTTTTGAGATGATTAAACAACATTTAATTAAACTAAACTGTGTGCAGGTCGCTGGACTGCCTTTCCGATCTCCTCCTCATCGCCTATCTTACCTAGTGTAGGTTGCAATTGCAATTCTAAGCGATTCGTATCTGGCTATATTGTGGGATTTAACACTGAGCAAAAAGATATCGTTTTTTGTTAGGAATTAATCATTTATTTTACACATTTTCTTCCAAAAATAATAAGATGGTAACAAAAAACAACATATTATTTAACTTCTAGAAATTGTTTTTAAATTTTTTAAATTAAAGATATTTCTGAAATATCTCAACAGGAAATCCTCTTAAATTTTTAAAAAGTTGACAAGAACATCAAAATCTTACTTAATAAATACCCAAGTAAATTGTAAAGCACATTTATATTTCTATTATTAAAGTCCTAATGTGTTGTGATGCATTTCCCAAGTGTATTTTTCTGCCTCATGAAGCAATTTCTGTCCAGTTTTTCTGCAGCTTTGGCTACCCACATATCGAGTAGATTTTCACAACCCCAGGCTCGGACTGTGCATGACTTACATGACTTTTCGGCATGTTAAATGCAAATCCATCTGCTAGTCTCTCTGGCAAATGCCGACAAAAACTGATTATTAGCTGCTGATTGCCGATCTCTAATTCCCGATCACTGTGGGCTGCTGCAACATTTCCACAGAAAAGCACAAGCGGTTACAGTGAAGCTTTTAATGAGGGAGCAGTCTGATTAAATATAGCACGGTTATAAATACTGTTTTTATTTGGGGGTGTGTCTGAAAGTAATTTAGTTACATGCCCGATTTTATCTTTGGATTTCCTGATGTCTTGAGTCAGTGTTTCCCAACTGCTGAGCATTCGATTTTAAAAAACCCCACTGTACCAGTTCTAGCGTGTCGTTTTTTATCTCAATTGAATTAATTTCTGCTCATTGTTCTGGGCAGACAATAATTGCATCGGTAATGTATTTATATAAATATTTATTTGCCATTATTTTGAAATGCTTAATGTTTTCAACAGGAATCTTTGTGCGACAAACTAGAATTTTACCAAATAGAAAACTGGTTTTCCAGATGAAGATGCTTACGTGACTAGCGCTGATCGCCTAAAGGCGTGTCCCATATATTATTAATTATAGATGTATACTATATAGTAAATACCCAAAAAATCCGGTTGGGCCTCTGTTCCAGTCGCGTATTTCGCATTACAATTAAAATTTGTTTAAGTTTAGAACGTGTTTCGAATGCGAATAAAATAATAAACACATGTGGCAGAAGGGCAAACAGTTGAATGAACATTCCAATGAACACACTGTCTATAAAAACGATTTTAGCTTAATGAAGTTACCCTACGGTCTATACAATCAATTTTAGCCTAATGAAGTTACCCTACAGCTAAGGTAATAAGCGATTAAAATTATGACTGATTACGACTGACATTGATTGGCCTTTGATTCGAATTTTTGATTGGGATATAGATACAATGGAACTGTCGCAGATCGTGAGATTGTTTTGACATTTTGCCTATCTGAGGAAAGATGTTGCATACACAAGTAGATAAGGCAATGAAATGTCTGTTTTTTGTTCGGAGATCACTGAACTAAAAGTTGAGGAAGGAATCATTTCTTATTTCAGGGTCTATACAAATCGCATTGAGGTATACAAACGACTGTTAAATTGTTAATGGAACACCATGTCAATACAAGTAAACAGGCCTCTTCAATTTCCCCTTTTGATATTTAATGTAACAAGGTTATAAATTGATAAAAACATCTTCTTCACAAATTTTTTTTTAAGTTTTGATGAGAGATGAATAAGAAAACGAATACTTTTAGTTTATTAACAGAATATTTTATAATTGAGAATATAAGAATCATAAAACCTTTTTCTTTTCGAATTAAACTCTGACTCATATGAAATAGCCTGGATCAATTATATTAGTCAATGAGTTATTTATCGTGTAATAGACCTTTGTAAATTAACCAACTTATTAATATCTTGCAAACAACTCCCGTTGAATTCCAAATCGATTATTTTATGCCCGAAAAGATGTTGACACAGATGTGTTAATTTCGCCCACATCAACAAGCAATTAATTAAAAATTAATAATGTCATGGGAAGAGATTAAATGAAACGCATTCAGCATAAGCCAAGTAAGAAACATGTGTAAAATTAACAAATATATGCAATCAATAAGGTATAAGTGAAACGTAAAAGTATAATTACCTGTATAAGCCGAATTGATCGAACTTAAATTGTCATCGCTTTCACGACTCATGCTTGCTGTGTCTAAAAATAAAATTAAAAACGAAAGAAAAAAAAGAAACAAGCGCAAAAAACGCAAAGTGAGCATAGCAAAAATTAAAACAAATATGTTAACTTAAAATTAAATTATAATTACAGCTAAGGGCTGGGGGCTAAGCCAAGCGAATTCAGGCCATGGTAACGGGCCAAGAAAGCTCAGCCAAGAAAATGTGGCTAACATAAAAGGCAGAAAAAAGTAAAGTGCAAAAGTGGCAATTAGTTATGGGTCGCTCCAGCAGATCAACCTCTCCACCCCAAAAGACTTTTATTTCATTTGAAAGAGATTAGATAACTGGGAGAGTGTTGGGTGAAGGTTTTCTTGGAAATGCTTAAAAAAAAACAGAAAGATATAGACAGCTTAGTGAACTGTTTCCGCAGTCTCAAATGTCTGGAATTAAGTGCAAAGAGAAATTCTGATAAAAACAGAAATATCTTTTTGTACAATACTAAATTAACTTTACTGTATTTTTGATTTGACTTATCAAACATCTAAATGACTTGAACAATGTATTCGGTGTCAAAGTCAAACCTAACATATTCAAATATATAATAAGTAATATGATATTTTTCGGCATTTTGTAAATTATTGTCTGTGTGTATTAATTAATTTCATTATAAAATCATGTTAAAATACGATATTTTGGGGTCTCTACCATTTCTTTATTTATTAATCAGTTCTAGAAGAAATTGCTAACAAGATATCAGTGGACACATCCAGAAAATTGCAGTCTTTATAAAATGAATGTCACTTTATACCCCGGGGTAACATAAATTAGCATTTTCGGCTAAAGCAATCCATCAATATTATGCAAAAGCTTAAAAACAAGTTTCCCTCACAGAACGAAACTAGACACCATTTAATGACCTATAAAAAAGAAGCAAGTAAAAAAGAAAACATAATATTTAACAGCAAGGCGACTTGACATTTGACTTTTCCACCGGCAATCAATATTTATTTACCTTGTACATAATTAACAACCGAATGAGAGAAGTTAAACAAATAAGCAACTTAAGTTGTTTTATTGTTTATTTGGAAATAATTAATATTCCTACTGACGCGTGTGTTTTGATCTCGAGATAAGCAGAAAAAACAACTTAATTATTGTTTGTTTGCTATGTCAAATTATGAAAAAGACTCTTCAGAAATATTTTGGCTAAAGAGTCGGCGAAGAATGCTGAAAGTAATTCGCTTTGAATTTGGTCAGTTGCCATAAAAATTTCGGTTGTGCAACCCACACGCAATTGGAAATGGAATTTATTTCGCTGGATCGTTCGATCGCAGACTTAAAAAAGTGGGCGTGTCGCAATTTATAACTGTATTTAAAAGCCAAAAGTGGACATTAATGTCATCATTAAAGGAGAGCCCATCATCCATCATCTCTAATGGAAGTCACTAAAGTTTTGGTTTTGTGTAAAGTTTTAACAAGTTTGCTAAAAAAGTTATTTTCCAATTTAATTATTGTTTGGTTTGTTTTATGAGCAGTAATTATTTTCCAATTTATTCTTTACACAATTATAATTAAAAAGAAGAGTTTTCTTTCTAACAACATTTTTTTAGCTCCTTGAAGAGTTAAGCGTTATAAGCAGAATTTTTTTTAACAAATACATTTAAGTACGCATTTCTGTTGAGCATTTTAACTTAGCACTTGGGGCTATTTCAAGCGAGACTTAAGTGCTTCGTCCCGAGAACTGTGTAAGTGACGTGTTAATTTATTTGACTTTTGCTTTTGCTGTTCTTGCTTTGAGCTTTATTGCATACGAAATAATTAAAAGCAGTGAAGTGTAAGCCAAACAATGAGCAAACCAAAGAGAACACAAAAAAATGACCAAAAAGTAAGGAAAAAAGTGATTAAAATTGTTTTTTAATTGTTAAATGTTAAGCTTTTGAGCTAAACTTGGTTGGTTTTGCTTGATGCATGAAACTGACAATGAAAAACCAAATATTAAAATACCCGGAACCCATATTTATTAATTGTGTGTCTGGAGATCAATAAAAATAACTTAACATCAAGTAGAAAAATTTAAAAAAAAAATGTCATGTCTTATAGTAGGTTTATTAATAATTATAAGTATAACTACATAATAGGTTTGGAAAATTTCTAGGAACCCATAAGCTTTCCTTCTGTGAGGTCCACCGACATTTCTTAATGGATACTTCCATTAAGCTTACGAAAAACTACGGAGGCCGATAATTCATTAGAAGCAGAAAAGTATCTCAACAAAGACAAGCAAAAACAAAAATATACTGACCAAAAATAAGCTAACGTTGAAAATAGAGGATAAAATGAAGGCAATAATGGGTTTGTTTACACGAAAAGCTAGAGAAAGACTCCGGCTCACTCAGTTGTGACAATAAATCATTTGAAAAGATTTTGAAGCAAAACAGGTGCAAACTGAAATATCATTTCATAATCGAAAAAAAAAGAAAACCAGGTACGAACCATAAAAATTAATTAACCTAAGGTGGTTACACCTTTTTCAATTTTTTCTCTTTTCATTACTGATTTGTGTTTAGCCAAAGAAACTGTAATTAAACTGCCGGGGAAGTCAGTGAGAAAAAGTAAAAGGCGCCGCCGGCGGAAAAGCAAAGAAAACAGGCAAACAATAAATACAAAATAAAAATCATTTTCAAAGCGTGTGAAACGCAATTAGGCGAAGAAAAACGCATTTACCGCAATTAAATGCCCATAAATGAGTGGCAAACAAAGTGCAATGCAAATTAGCCCGGCACAAAGGTGCGTATACGTGATCGGACATTATCGAACATTACTCATACGCCACCGCCACCACCCACGACAAGTGAGTCTGTCTATGCCAACAGTTCTAGAACAAATACCAAGCTGAGCTCATTGCGAAGCTTCAAAAATATATAAATATAAATCAAATATAACGAACGCCAAAAGCAACAAAAAAATGGTGTAAACAAACCGACTAAATTGAGTGGAATGACGACAGATCATTATTGCCGGTGGCGGGATCCACAGCAAATATATAAAAGTATATAGAATGTGTTCGGAAGTAGTGTGAAATATATGGGTATAATGAATTGAAAAATATATATCCCAGTTGGACAGATGGGATGAGCTCTCTGTCAAGGCAATGCCTTCAAAAGGCTTTATGACATAGCTCCCACACGCCCACAAGTTTGCACAGGTGGATTGTGTAATCATTATATATCTAGTTCTATATATGATGTCTCCATTTTTCAATTCTAGTTGTGTAAGCATCTAAAACCTTGAACTTTTGTAAGTTTCCCCATAAATCTGCTTTTGCGTTTCAAAATTTACTTTGTTTTTTAAAAATAGAGGTTGCAATGTGCATTTGCAATATGCATTAAAAAATATATTTTTAAAAATAGCTTTATCCCTCTAAAGAAGGCTACCGATGTTAAAGATTCTGCTTTGAAAACCTACTGTTATTTTTAATTGACCACTTAAGCAATCAATGAGTATTTACACAATGCAATGAAAATTGATTTAAATATTATATTATATTATGTTGGTTATCAATATTAAAGATATGCAATTGTCTAGAAAGCACTAATAAAATTTGAAACGTATTCTAGATTTACGACACAAATACATTTTTAAAATTATTTTTGAAAATATTTTATCGGACTCAAGTTTTTTCTATAATTTCTTTTCTATCAAGCAAATTCCAAAAAGATGTCTTGCATTCTCTCGCATGTCACAATCAGTAATATTATCAGCATCCAGATGAGTAATAATTTCACTTCCCAACGAAATAATATGTGTAGATCTCACGCTCAATTCTAATTCAAAGATAACATGGCAACAGCAAAAGTTATAGCGTTTTTGTGTTGGCAATGTCGCTGCCAAAGAGAGTATGAAACCCAAAATAAAAATGTGTTTTCTTATCAAACACTCTGTTGTTGCGCCGGTTTCAATAGAACCAAAATAATAATAACAACTACAAAAGAAATACACAAAAATGTAGAGCTGATAAAATACCAGTTAACAATAACAATGCCAAAGCCAAGGCGAATGAAAACACTTGGCCTGGTCCAAAATGCTTAGACAATTTACAGACACAATGTGCGTTATGCGAACGGAACGTGGCAGTGAAAAGAAAGCCGCAAAACGGAAAGAAAGTTAGCCACAGACAACTAAATACAAAATTGAAATTTGCATACAGTGTTAGCCGCCGGTGGAAGCCAATTTGATTTGGCAATAAGACGTCAACGCCGAGCCCAACAAACAACAAACAATTCACAAACAAATAAAAACAAAAAACAAATTGCACTAAAAATCAAAGTCTTAGGCAATATGCAAATATTGCCACTGTGAAAGTCATTCCATTTCGCATATATATGTACGTATTTTTAGACTGATCAGCATTTGTGTCTCTTTCAGTCAAAATACAAATCAGCAATAACGAATTTGTATATCTAATTAGCGGTTAACCGCAAATTTTCAATACAATCCGCAACCGAACTTTGTTATTGCTGTTTCGGCAAATAAACTTTGGTTGTTGCTTAGAGTTTATTGTAGATATAGAATGCCTTAAGGTTATCGCTGCGATTTAGCCGACATTTCAATGAGAGAGAGGTTGGGGACACGTGCTTAGCCCATTTACATGTTTTTTGTGCGTCAATTTACTCATGTAAGTATTTGTAAACAGGAAAAGGCGGATTCCAGCGGAAAATCCCTAATTAGCTACGTTTTCAGTACATCGATAGAGGCTAATGGGAAGGGCCAAAAGTACATACGAGCACTAACCATACAACATATAGACTGGTCATTTCATACAACGAATTTGGTCACAAAATTTTTCACTCGGGGAGCCCCAGTGCTGGAATCGGCAGGCCCCGACACTTCGTGTGCCTTCGGGTTTTTTCGCTCTCGTTCTAATTCTTATTTTGACGCTCGCGCTCGAGTTCGGTCGTTCAGTCGCAGAGACGCGCATTTTGAAGAAGGTTGGCCTGCGCTTGAATTGGGCTTTGTATGTATGCGTGTTCATGCATT